ACAAATTAATAAAGCCATTTCACTAATGGCAACATTCATATTAGCTAGCAGCTTAACTAAAGGCACACACTGTTCTATCAAGTGTGTGAAAGGGTATACATATATATAGATAGTCTTATAAAAGAAATTCATATATACATGTCAATCCGCCCGTATGAACCGCGAGAGCTGTTATATCATATTAGCTACAGACACCGAAATTTATAGCTTCATTATTTAAAAAAAAACTACCATACAAGCACTATATGTAGAACACTTTTTTTTGGTTTTAAAGATATTTTAATCAAATTATTAATATTTCTGAGTAGACACTATAGCATCTAGAGGAGGATCTACTGTCCTTCTTATTGTAAGCAGCAGTAGCCCCCCCGTTCGTAGCTGTTTTTCCCTCATCAGCGAGCCCTAATGCTGCCTAGAAACGCCCACTAATAAATCTTTCCTTTTTTAAGCACTAGGCAATCTACCATAACCACACAGTTCAATATTTACCCCACAAAGGACAGATTTTAAACAAAGAAAACGGAAGAGAAAGAACGTGAAAAGAAGGGTAAGAAAATGAAAAACCCGTTAAGAGAATCAAATCGACCACAGCTATTAAAAGCCATAAAACTTTTCCCTTATTTATTTTCCAATTAACTCAAATTATGATTATGGCCCTACACATAATGGATAAGTGCAGTGATTGCTAGCCACAAAATCGCCCGATCAGTTAGCTAACGAATCCGAACAATGGTTTTGCCTGATAAAATTGCTGTGGGTTGCTGCATTCCTGCTTCATTACATTTATTTTGGGTTTCCATTCTCACTTTTATTGTTTTCTGCTATTCTATTCTCTGGGGTCCTTTAATGAAACTTCACGACTTGGTTGGCAAGCAAAATAATTGCTAGTAATAACGTAAAATAATTTTGCAATATAAACATGAAATTAATGGTTGGTGTAGCCGAAGGAAAAACTAGCTACCAGTCGAAGAGACTTTTAATTAGCTTTTGAATGCCCTACAAATATATTTTATTCACTTACAACAAAAACATTGCAATTAATATTGTACGTTTTCGAAAGGTGATGATTTTGAAATGTTTGTTGTGTTATAAGTGTTTCTTAACATTTTTTAAATTAATATTTTGTAACATTCAAAGATCTCCTGATGGGGTTTTGTGCAACTCATCGTAGGCTCGCTTTTGCCGTCTTATTCATGTTTAATCTTTTAGCTCACAATTATTACGCATTATGCTGCATTTGGTTATTGTTTTCATTGTTGTTGTTGCTGCTGGTGCTGCTGGTGCTGCTGGTTCTTGCTCTCGGCTTTCCTGACTGTTAAATGTGAATCATTGGTGTCGCCACCAACTCCGACCAATCTTTGCGTGAAAAATTAAAACGAGAGCAGCAACAACAATAACCTTGTATGGTCGACTGGCGGAATAACTAACTGACTGACTGACTTACTGCCCGATTCGCCTGCCTAGCAGGCAAGTAAGCGAGTCCCTTATAATGGCATTACCACTACCCAGTACCCGCTATCTACTGCCTTCAGTGAGTTACCAAAATGTGATTCCAGGCAATGCGCCAGCTACAACAGCAATGCTGCACATTTAAGCGAGCTGTAAATCTCATTTTGTCTCCACTGCGCCCACTTGCCCCATGCAACACTTTAGGGACTGGCTCGGGTACTCTTCTCTCTCTCTGCGCATTTAATTTTATTCGTATTTTTCTTTCGCTTGTGTTTGTGTTTTCGGTTTTTTCTTTTTTTTAAGGAAAGGGCAGCAGCGTATCGCCTGCCAATAACATCACCAACAACACCAACATACTCGTATGGTTTGTACATCCGAAATAAACTCGACGGCCGTTACTTTGTTGTTTAAGCTTTTTTCATTTTAACTTACGTGTTTCTGGCATCATCAGAGACAATCTCCATCGATATCTGCTGGCAATAAAAAAGCTTATTGAAGCGAACGCTTTTCATTGGAATTACTGAGCTGGGCTGATGGGGCGTTTATTTCTGATGCGGATTAAGAAACTGGTAGTTCGTGAAGGAAAACGTAAGCAAAAGTAAGCCATTCAGCCAAACAAGTCTACATACACCCATTAACACGTTCTGCCTCTAGCTATGAAATCGTAATTCGTTATTCTAATAGAAATATCTGAATGATTGATATTGCAAAATTCTGGCAAGGAACTTGCGTGGAATGGAATGGAAATGAAATTCCCACTAGGATTATGCATCTTATCGCTTAACACGATCTCTTTTACTACGAACTCGGTATAAATTGATTAAAAATTTGCTACCTTTTCTCTTTTAACACGCTGAAAACGTTACAGCATAGAAAAACTTCAAGAAGCTTGGAAAAACCATTCCAGCTAATAAGAGAGTTGGAAGAAATACTTTTACCCTATAAGGTCTGCTACAAAAATCAGTTTAAAGTCGATAAACAAACGCAAATCCTTTCTTTTGCAAGCAAAAGGATCGCATACAAAAAAATGCTTAGCACGAAAACGGCTTATAATTAGAATATATGCCAATGCCACTTGCCAGCTGCCTTAAAATTGTGTACGCTTAAAAATATTTCCTTTTTTAATAAGATTAATCTGTATATAATAAATATTTAACATTTGGAGTAACTTATTGTTAATTTTGAAAATATCCAAATACCTTAAAAGCACCAGAAGTTTAAACAAGAAACAATTGTTTCTTGCATTTCGAACTTAACTTTTGTATGGCGTCCATGTCTCGCTTAACACGAGGTTTTCTAGTAACGTAATCCCCGTAATGCCCCAAGCGGGGACAATGTGTATTCTATTACTTGTAAAAGAAATAAATAATTACTGTCAGTTGAATGACAGTAGCTTTAAACGACATCAAATCAGGCAGCTAATCTATTTGCTGTTGCACATACTTACAAATATGGTTCTATAATAAATAATATAATATATAATAAATAATATATTTATAAATATTTTAAATAACTAATTTTCATACTAATTATTGAAAACAAAGTGGTCCTAGTAGCGATGTAAAGAAACAATCAATTATGATATTACAAAAGAAAACAGGTTCGGCCTAAGACCTTACTAATACTCTGTGTGATTTATTTATTTAACATTTTTTGTTTAAATTAGGCAATTAGTATGTTTAATAAATCAAATCATCAAGCCAAATTATATATTCGATAAAGTTTTAGATCTTCCGCAAACGCAGCGACCCTTCATATCTGCATCAATAAAACATTTCGCAGTAAACACAATTGTGGTATGTAAATCACCTTTTTGAGCTCGCATTGGGCGCGGGCACGAAAATCAATTGAAATGCAATAGAATTGGAAGCTCTTCAGAGACCGCCAGCCCCCAAAGAAACACGCACGCCTTACGTGAACGATTTGGTAAAAGCACACACAAACAAATGTGTGTCTGTGAGGCGATTTTAACAAAATTGCACTCAAAATATGCAAGCGCGGGAGACAAAAATAAAAAAGACAACATTAAATACTGCCGGAGGAGTAGAAAATCGTGAAAAACATTCAGTTTGCTGCTAGCGCGAAAACCAAATAGCAGAGCGGTACGAGCACTTACCAAACGCAGCATATGAGCCACGACTGTGATGAAGGCACGTACATCCTTGTACGCCAGGACGATTCATCATGCGCAAACTGGCATGAGCCCTTTCCACAATCTCAAAAGCAATGGGCACAAAATCGAATCGAAAAACTTGCTCAAAGCCAGGCAATGCGTCGATTTCCTGAAGCTCGCCAAGGAAGGAAACGGAAATGTGAGCGAATGAGAAGGCGAGTGAGCAGCGACAGCATTGAGGTGGCCATGTTTGCAGCGGAAACGAATGCACAGCAAGCGTAATTTCTTTCTATGTATGTTTACCTCTATATGTGTGTTTGCTTATGTTCCGCTGCTGTAAGTGTCGCGAGTCACTGACATGCCATCGCTCCTAAGCCAAAAACCAAAACAAACAAACGAACGATGACTTTTAGGCAAGTGAATTTTTGAATTCCGAGCCATTTTAAAATCTCATCAAAGGCAGTTATGTATTTGGAATTTTAAAGCAAGTCATAAAAAGTAGACTGGGCTCCATGCAGAAAAATCCGTTTTTCACAGTTCCACTGATAGTCACAAACTTAATCCATTTGTTAAACCAAAATTTATTGCGCAAAAAAATGTTAATAGCGTAAATAAATGAAATGTACATATTTAAACTTCCAAACGCCCCCTAGTGTAACAACTATATCGAATCTGATAATATCCTAAGTTAAAAAGAATGGAATGCTATAGTCGATCCGGCCTCCTAAATACCCTACTAAATACCCTGTACTATTAATAAAATAAAAAAATGTAAATTCACCTTTTACTTGTAGTACTAATATTACAATAAACTTTAGGAAAAAATAACATTAATTTATTTATTTATTCGCTGCAGTAAGTTCAAATGTTTGATAGTCGATTTCTACCTCGTACGCAGAGGATAAAACTGAATAGTACATACTACTTGTATATATAGATATATACACTATATATTTCTATACGGCCGCCCATATGAACACCGAAAGTTTTTGAAACAGAACCGTTAGTTTGTCTTAATTAAAGCGCAAAACCAATCGGTGGCAAAATCAATCTTTGTAAGATACTTTCTTAATTTTGAATATATCTTTAACGAATTTGGTATTTATGTTCCTTCTTCAGTGTACAAAATGCAAATTGGAATCGGATATTAATTGCTTCTTTGGAAAAAACATGGAATGTATTTATATAAAAATATATGAATTAAATAAAAACAAACGAAAACGATTGCCCACGATATCTAGAATTAATTGAGTGATTATCAAAACCTTGAAATCAAGCTGCAAAAAAAACAATAATAAATAAAGGTTTTGTTTGACGAATCAATTTAGAATGCTAAAATGTGAATAATTCATTTTACGTAGCCATATTACGTAACATAATTGAATTTTCTTGCAAATTTAAATTTGCCATCAAATATGTCAGTCCATTTTTTTAGACAGCTCAAGCCAGATCTCATTGTGATCCGCGATGGTATATATGGCTCATACTACCCAGTAAAAGCTAGTAAATTACTTTAAAAGTCTCCCTTCCATTCCAGCGGCTTGTGCTAGTGCTGTTTATATTTAGCAGCATAGTGTTGGTGCAGGCCCATCTGCAACGCGCAAAATTTACGAATACGCAAAGAAACAGCGATGGAGCGTGCGAACCTAAGACGGACGAGAAGGACCTGTTAGAAGTGGCCATTTTGGGTGCCTCAAAGATTCTCATCGATCATGTGCAAAAACATAACAAGGGCCATGTCCTCGATCCACAACTCTTGCGCGATATTAGTGAGCAAGTCATGGTAGAGTTAATGGGGGGGGCATCAATTCAGGAAATGGTTGATAAAGTAAAGATATGGTGCTTGGTAAACAGACCTCCTTGTGATGATTGTGAACAACCACCCGGAGATGGAGGCGGAGGTCGACCACCTGGAGGACGACCACCTGGAGGACGACCACCTGGAGGTCGACCACCTGGAGGACAACCACCCGGAGGGGGGAATGGAAGCGATGAAGAATGTCCACCATGTCCACCATGCCCAACACCTGGAGGTCACCCACCTGGAGGTCGACCACCTGGAGATCGGCCACCTGGAGGCCACCCACCTGGAAATCACCCAACATGTCCGCCATGTCCACCTTGCCCTCCACCTGGAGGTCGACCACCCGGAGGTCGACCACCCGGAGGTCGACCACCCGGAGGTCGACCACCCGGAGGTGGAGGTGGAGGTCGACCACCCGGTGGCGGAGGTGAAAGTGGAGAAGGGAGCGATGAAGGAGGAGGCGGAGGTGGAGGTGGAGGCGGAGGTCGACCCCCTGGAGGCAGACCACCTGGAGGCCGACCACCTGGAGGTCGACCACCCGGAGGTGGAGGTGGAGGACGACCACCCGGAGGTGGAGGTGGAGGTCGACCACCCGGTGGCGGAGGTGAAAGTGGAGAATGGAGCGATGAAGGAGGAGGCGGAGGTGGAGGCGGAGGTCGACCCCCTGGAGGCAGACCACCTGGAGGCCGACCACCTGGAGGTCGACCACCCGGAGGTGGAGGTGGAGGTCGACCACCCGGAGGTGGAGGTGGAGGTCGACCACCCGGAGGTGGAGGTGGAGGTCGACCACCCGGTGGCGGAGGTGAAAGCGAAGGATGGAGCGATGAAGAAGGAGGTGGAGGTCGACCACCCGGAGGTGGAGGTCGACCACCTGGAGGTGGAGGTGGTGGTCGACCACCCGGTGGTGGAGGTGGAGGTCGACCACCCGGAGGTGGAGGTGGTGGTCGACCACCCGGTGGTGGAGGTGGAGGTCGACCACCCGGTGGCGGAGGTGGCGGAGGTGGAAGTGAGGAATGGAGCGATGAAGGTGGCAGACCTACAAGAAGACCACCTGGAGGACGCCCAACATGTCCACCATGTCCATCTTGCCCTCCAAATTCATGCTTACCATCACCACCCGGTCAAGGATCACGAAGTAAAAGCTACCTCTGCCTCCTGGAGCACGGAAGAATCACGTGCTACGCATATAGATATAATCCCAATGCAGATATATCAGTAGAAGAAACAGGCAGCAATACTAATTATCCACGGCGGAAGACAGGTCATCATACAAAAGCAAAACATAAAGCGGCTCGACAAAATCGCAGAAGTCTTAAACACCATAAACAGCGCGGTTACCAAAATAAACGAAGGACTAAATACGAATCCGCTATGCGTAAGCGAACCAAGTCCGTTCAAATTATAAAAACAAAGAGGTTTGATTTAGAAAAAAAAAAACATATAATGTAATTTCAATTATAGCCACTGAAATGCATATAATGCGAATAAAATATTAACCATGTCAGCGCTATATAAACGTGTGGTATGCGTGTAAAAAATCACTGTTATGGCTTTTGCAGTCAAATTTATATTTCTTATTAACTCTTAACATTATACCATATTTAAACTGTTTTACGCAATACTACAGCTTCAATTTCGCTTAAGAACATTTTAAACAGAGGTCCTGTTAAAGGTTGCGTTAGGCCAGTGTCCTTAAGAAAGATAAACTCCGCTCGGCAAAACTCTCTGCCATTGTGTGTGTAAAAGTAAACAAACTCCGCTAATACGAACAAATTTTATTTGAACCAAAAATCCAATGGCTTGCTTTTTTTGTTGTAACTGCCAACCAAGCGAAAGTTGCTGGCAATTGAAAAGCGGAAGGCCGTATAACACCAGTACACACAATGGCCGAATACCAACAACGCAACACAACAAATTTTATGCAGGACACTGGCTCGACCTTTGGCAAGCAAAATTGAAAAGCGAACAGACAGCGGCAATAGAGTATATCGTACAAGCTATGAACTTATTTTTACTTACTATATGCCATCGGCCATAAAAATGGCGGCTACCCTGCTGACTAACATTTAGTGAGACAGACATCCGGCCGAGATGGGAGCGCGCTTTGCTGCCAATTTGCTTTGTTGTTGTTGTGGCTATTGCTGTTGCTTTCAGTCGTCTTCATGCATTTTATGAGCTGCGAACTCATCGTCGCATATCGCATGTCGCATGCTTCGACAGATCCACCAAATTTTTGCTTCAAAGGGGCTTCAGAGTCAGCTTTGATGGGTTGCTAGTACCAAAGTGAACTCAGCTGATGAGCATTTACTCGTAAAAATTTTACACGGTTTTAAGAATCTCGAATGGCATTTGCGCCCTTTTTTATGGCTTGTACGCCAATATGATATCAACACGCATGCCTGATTGACACTATCGATGGGGGCTGGCATTGGCTTCGAGCGGAAATTACGAGCTACGCAACTATTTAACATGGCCATAAAGGCGGACTGAAACGGAGTGCCCTTAAACTACATGTACATGAATTATTTATGATTATATCTCCTCTCATATACTCGTACAAACTTGCGCTCGTCGTTGAAACAATTTATTTTAACATTCTACGCGATTTTTCTTTATTTGCTCGCATTGCAAACAACACTCCATTGTACGGCGGCAAAGGTATAGTTTCATCTAAAAATTTTACATGCAATTCATACTTCATTAGAGCTTTGAAACTTAAGAAAAACATTGTGAGTAGTTGGGTCTTTTTTAAAAAAATTTATTTTATACTTCCCAAGGGTTTCCTTTCTGGGTCACTTCATTGGTTTTAACATCTTCGATATCAAATTTTCTTGGCAGCTGGGTTCAACTTTCACATCTATGGGGATGGGGAGATTTGAGACAGACATAGCCACACTAGAATAGCCTGGTAAACTGATCTAATCATCTGATTTAGAAGATGGCAACGTTGCTATAATAGTTGATTGAATATGCTTCATTATCTGATTCACAGCCATATATGAGTGCTTGGCGTAAACGTCGTACTGCGACTGATCAAACGTCTTCCCTCTTTGTTCGTAGAGACGCAGAGTCTTGTCGCGCAATTTCTGGCGCTGCACTGCATCCTTAGCGGTTGTATCAACTGCCACAATGGCAATGTGGCACTCACTATCCGCCAAATGAAAGCCATCGACTTGACAACTACTGATAACGGCCTTGAACACTTGACCAAATTCTACGTTGTGCCCCAACAGCGTCGACAGATCTGACGCAATTCTCGGAATACTTTGCTGTGAGAAAATCGCACTGGCCATGGGTGTGAGCCTAATTGGATTTTGCTGCAAGGGTAACATACGGCACAAAGCACTCACGGCTAACAAACTAGCCTGATTGAGCGTCAGATACAGCTTGTGATCGTGTTGACGGGGCTGCACATTAATTTGATGCGGAAAGACGTCAGTGTATATGTAGACGCTCATGTTATCTTCAAAGAGCATTCGCCACATCTGATGCTCGCCACTCTGCTTAATTTGACGCATCTTGGGACCAAGTTCAAATAGCACTTTGCCTGCGAAACCCAAGCTCCACAATTTTCCAGTCGACGAAACAGAATTGAAATCAGGACATATCTCAGCAAATGTTTCGCACAACAGTTCAAAGTCCAGACCATTGCTTTGACGTTGAGAGGGGCTTGCCATCTTCTGATTCACCAAATATGAAAAAAGTATACATATAATACATACACTATAACAATAACATTAGATATGTACATGCTTACATACACAAAACTTTTCAGAATCCAACAAAGGCACGATCGTTGAAACAAACACTTTTTGCTGACTGTGCAACATACATATATGTGTATATATATACTTAGTACATGCACCGAATCTATGTTTAGATTTAAAATTGTTTGGAGCAAAGCACACACAATCGTTTTACTCGACGGTCTCCACTCCACTGATTTTGCTTTTTGTGTCCATGTCCAGTCAGGGCACTTCGAATTTGAAGCGAGCGCTTATCGATTTCCGATTGAAAATTAGCATTTCCATCAAGATACTTGTATGTATTTCCAACTAAATAATACAGTCGACGCTCGTTAATTCAAACCTGCGTTTATTCGAAACTCTCTATAATTCAAAGTTATCACGAGTTCCCTACAAAATCTCTTTATATTTCGGAATAATCAATACATTTTTATGCACTTGGTAATTCGAACTAAAAAATCATTGCTATATAACAAAACAACGCGTTAATTCGAACTCATCGGCGTCCAACACTGGACAATGCAAAGTTTCATAGAGAAAGAGGCGGAAAGATTGGATGTAAGTACATTTTGCGACAAGTTTAAACTTGTATCAACGTACACATAACGCCACGCAAGCGCCAAAAATCAACTTCGGCGCATCTAACGGTCACCGCTCAAGATCCATCCCGGTAACTGTTTTTTTAAAACTTCACACGAATCGGTTTGTTTAGTTATCATTCAGTTACTGTTACTCTTTTGACAGTGTTATAGAATAGTAATTAATAAATAATTATTGATCAACACTTAATAATTGATATTTCAAACACTTGATAATTCTTAATATTTTAAGAGTCCCTCGAGTTATGAATTAACGAGAGTCGTGAAAAGTTGAACTGATAATAATTTAATATAATGGGCAATGGCCCCGTACTAAGGGGCAATATAGTATATACAAGTACGTATGTATGTATAGATCTGTTTATTCATATTTTGAACAGCATGCATTTTTGTTCCATCCGAACCGATATCAATATAGAAGATGTCAACTCAGTTCCTGTTGCGATACTTCAATTTCGGTTCTTTGAAATAGTGAGTGTTCATTTGATCGCGGATCGGACCCAACACCTCAATGACTGCGTCAACAATCTCATCCAGGGTCGCAGGGCGGTTCAGATATTGCATGGCAGCCAATATTAATGGAGTCAAGACATCATTGTAGTTCGGCTCCATCTAAAAATATTTATTAATTTAGTTCAGTGTATTGAAAATTTTGAAGTGAATGACTGAGGAGATATAAAATGTCAATGATATTTTATTCGACAAATAATTCAATCATTTTGACATTTATGATTATACATACATACATACTTGGGAAAATGTATTTGAGCTGCCGAGCAAGTTCAGGCAACATGCTCGCCTGTGGATGGGATGCTTAAGCAACGTGCCAAGCTAGTTTTTCAAAATGTAAAAATGTAAAATGTACCTTGGAAATTCAATCCTCGTTAGACTTTGTGAGGGAGTGGGGATGCACCGACAAAAAAAAACTCAAACTCTCACTTTCTCGGACTTAGGAGAATCTGGATACCAAGTTTGGTTATTCTAGCTCTTGTACTTGCTGAGATTCTTGCGTTCATACGGACAGACGGACAGACGGACGGATGGACGGACAGACATGGCTATATCGACTCGACTTGTCATCCTCATCAAGAATATACACACTCTTTGGGGTCTGCCACGCCTCCTTCTGTATGTTGCATACATTCACACAAAACTAGTATACCCTTTCACCCTTTGGGTACAGGGTATACAAATTCCAGCACTGTACGCAATCAATTAAAATGTATCATGGGACCTCCCCTGAAATTGCTACCGATCAACGATAAATTGTGTGGTTAAAATATCTATACTTCATGCATTCATTTGTAAACAAAATGCCTTTGGTGCTGCCTTTGTTCGGCTTCCACTCTTAGTTCATTACAGTGCTTCTATTGGGTTGGGTACGTGCTTTAAATTTCAAAACGCAATTCTGAGTGAATTCAAAATTAAAAAAGGAAAAACAGAGATATTAAAAATATTTATTATTCACTCTTAGGCATATCAATAAATAACTTGTACTATATGAATGTGTTTTTCGGTTATTCTCAGTGGTATTAGAGCTCTTATCTTCTTATACACATATGAATGTATGTATAAGTACATATGTGCATGCATAAGTTGAAATATGTATATACATACTATACGTATGTGTTTACATACATACATATGTATGTCTTTTTATAAGTACTGCGCCTTTGAAAGTTATCATAAGTTGTCATCGCGCAGTTCTAGCGATTGGCTCAAACTGCCGCTACAGTTATCCACATTTAAGATACAAATTTGTATAACTTTCACAGGATTTTTTACTTTTTAATGCTAAACGGATTTGTGTTTACATTTTTCAGCGGCTTAGTTTAATTAATTAAATTTAAATAAGTACAAGTATGTAATTAATGCTATATTTTATCTGGCAGAACAAACGAAACCGTATTATTTGGGTTAAAGCTAAAGTCAATATACGATATTATTCAATAATTTATTTATTTAGTCACCAAACATAGACTGTAATTATAGGAAAAAAATGTACTACAAAGGTTATAATTCCAACTTGAAACAGGAAGGTGTAATTCAGAACATGAATCCAAAATTTCACGATAAATTCAATTCTCGTCAGGTTCACTCAATTTTTTTTTAGGCTTGCACGATCTTTCCTATCTGATTCTTTACTTATCAATGCTTTTATTTTCAGGACCCGCAACATGACTGACACATCAAACAAGAAATTTTTCTTTGACTACGAAAAGTTGGCCAAACTTTTTGTTGAAATTTGTCCAGACTTTTCCGCTGAGCCACATTACGAAAATGCGACTACCAGTCGTCGCTTTGCCGAAAAGGTGATTTTCGATTATAGCAAGAAGGCAAAAACGAGCAAGGCGCAGAACAAGGACAAAGTTTGGAGCCTTATCTTAGAAACCACAAACAGCAAGGGAAAGCCGCTGAAGAACAAATTGATAATTTCGACTTACGCGTTTAAGCCGGCACCATTGCAGCAGCCCTTCTTGCAGCACGGCCATCTCCACCTGACCTTTAAACAGGCCAGCTTGCTGGCTGTGGCCAAATACTGCCAGTTGGTGCCGCACTTGATTCAGCGCAATCATATCGTCCTAACACCTCTCGCCGGAGCCATTTTCAATAAGAGCGATATGCCCAAGCTGGCTGAGGAGCTAAATGAGCCGCTTGTCGATGTCGTTATGGCCGTCATAAGTAGCTGCCAGACAGATGGATACTATCTTAAGCACAGTCGGTGCCACATAGCCTTGGCTGCCCTCAACAAGACTATCGTCGACCTCAAATTGCGGGGTGCCTTAATTACGAAAACTATTAATATGTATCGATTCCACGGCAAAGAATTGGACAAAGAGCAGCTGAAGATATTCAGCAAATACTCGCAACAGGTCCGTCAGTGCCCCACCGACAACTCCAAAATGGAGGAACTGGTCGCTGAAGTAATCGCACTGGGCAATTAGCGCAGCAGCTGATGGGAATAAATCTTCTGAGTAAATCAGTCCTAAATAATCAAACTTATTTTAAATCTCTATACCAGCGGTGGGCACGAAATTTGTTATTTTTATAAAAAAAAAAAAAAATCTTGCTGCTCAAGAACCCTGCCTAACATTTTGTTTAAATATTCACACTTATGTTTATAAACTTGACATTATGAAAATACGTGTTTGAAATAAATAAATACTATATCCAAACAAAGCTAAAAGAAAATCGTAATCTGTAAAAGCACCTACACAACCGTAATCTTCAGAATATATGGAATGTGGAGGTTTACAAAAAAAATTAGGTGCAGTTCAGAAAATTTTTGGGATTCCCGCTACTGATTTTCATTTCTAATTGATTGTGTTGAACAGCGGCTCCCAGCCAAATGCGGTCAAACTATTCTTAAGCAAATCACATCCAAGACACATTTCAATATCATTGTTAGAATGCCTTTACACCTCAAGAAATAGTTTGAGTTATTAATTTAGTTTCATTTAATAACCAAAGCATATGTAATTCAGGGTAATGGATATTTCATCTTTAGCGTTTCTTTTCATAATTGTATCATACTCGTAACCATTTGGAAACTGATTTAAGTTAATAATAGATTAATCTGACTATCTACCAACGTTGCTTGGTTATTTATGATTTTGTATTAAATTCCAAGGGATAACATGAATAGTATTTAATATTTAAGCCAAGCTCAGTTTAAAGTGATCATCCCGACTACAGTTTGAGTTTTGATTAAAGTTATTTCACTAAAATCAAATATTAAAACGAAATCGGATATCCCCTAATGTGTTCAACAAAATATTTAAATTAATTACGCCATATTTTCCACGTAGTCTAGAAGTCAAGCGACTGATTTTTTTATTATCATTATTATTAATCTGTGTATGTAATTCTTTTGCAAAAATATTTATAGTCTGTGTAGCAAATTTGAAAATATTTTAATTGTCTCCTTCCATATAAATAGTACTTTCTCTAATATGTGACGTCACGCAGAATCAGCTGTTTAATTTTTAGCATACCGATACCAGAAGAAGTAATTGATAAGCAGTAGATGGAAGAAGACCATCATTTGAAATTATAACAGTAAACAAGAGACGGGATACGTGTGTAACAATTAAAAATGTTTACACAGACCGTAACGCTCATGACGCCAGAACTATTGGATTATTTTTTAGAGCAACATTATGTGATGCCGAAACATATTAAAAACGACATTGCCTATTGCGAGTGGGCATTGCTTCAGTTGGCTGGGGCATTGCATGTAAGTACTACTAAACATATGTATGTTCATGTAACCTCATATATATATACACACACGCACACATACTTATGTATATAAACAACATATGAATGTATTATCAGCACTGCAGCCAGCAACAACAAAATAATAGTGCCACTAAAGAATTCAAGTGTTTTATTGCTACCGAGATCGGCGATATCGAGACAGACTACAAACACGTACTTCGTCTGTTGAGCCTCAGCACAAGAACTTTTCGCAAGTTTCTGTCAGATCGCGGACTCTTTGTGCGCGACGATCTGAACAAATGTATAATAGCTAGGGAACTGCCGCAGACTGGACAACTGCCGACTGGAGCGTTGCTACCGAAGCCCAAGCATGTAAAGCCGCGCTCCTCCCTACAGGAGTTGCTGCAAAAATGGAACATCACCAATGATTCGATACCTAAGAATGAGTTCCTACGCCAGCTTGGTCTATGCAGGCGAAGGGAACATGACGCAGTGCCGAGACCACAACGAGCGAAACGACGAAGACGCTGTAATTACCGTGTGGAACCACATTTAGAGCAGGTGTGTAACAAGCGCAATATTCAGCAAAATTCATTATTTTCGTTTAACTAAATAAAACACTTAACTAATCTCCATTAAACTATGTAAATATATATATTTTTTGTTTCATTTTTTAGCTGCCTTCGAAGAAATGCAAATATGACAATGTGATCTTCTTGGACTAATGGTCTCATGCTCTCCTATGAATGCATTGCAACTTTTAAATTATCCGATTTAAACTGTACGCAATTACAAATATGTAAATTAAAGTTAAATATTTATCAATTTGTTTCCAAATAAAATTATTTTATCGACATTGTTGTATCATAGCTCAACTGTGGCCTTTTATATTGTTTTTCTTATTGAGTACGTCCACTTTATGGATGGAGAAGCTGGCATTTCGACATCGTTTTCTCAGTGTCACAAGAATGCAGTACAGCAATTGCTGCAGGCGGCGCATGCGCAATATATAGGAAGTGCCTTGAGAGCGAACAAACAATGGAGTTCCCTGCGCCTCACAATCGTACATGAAAAAAAAACCACCTGATTCGTATTGGGGTATAAAGCCAATGGCCAAAGCATAACCACGCAGTTGTATAATACCCAACTGATGCTGGCTAAAGAAATAGACGAGTGCATCGGCCAAATTCATGCGGGAGCCGCACACCCTTCCATAAACCACATGTTCCAGATGCACACGAAATTTTAGCGCACACAAAGTGCACTCAGTGAGCAAATTTTCCAAAGAAAACTCGTAATCTCGTTGTTTGATGAGTGCAATGCTTGCCGCATAATACGCATCTCCGCTCACGACAATGCTGTCCAAGAGCTGGGCATTCCAATCGTCCAGCTGGTAGAGGCAACTTGCGCAGCAGGCGAGCACACAGCAAGCCAGTATCTGATGACCGCGTTGACTGTTCGGGAAGACTGGCGCAGACGGATGCAAATTGCCCCAAAGTGACCACAATTCGTTTGCAATTTCAATGTTATAGGCACGATGCTTGGCCACTGCGGAGCTGCGTCTAACCCCATTGGCATTACGGCGACGCAGACGACTCCATAGCGGCAGCATTTGCTTCAAGGAAAATTTGCACAATTTCGAAGCAATTTATGTAGGAAAATAACTTATATTATCTATTATGTTGTATTCACAGGTAGACATTAAAATCATTGAACTTGCTTAGACACCATGATAGTGTCATACACCTATTTATATACATTATTTGAAGCTCCTCACAATAACGAATTAACTTGGTTTTAAGGGTTTTTGACCATTGTACGAGCCAGAGACAGACGTTTGTGTTCGGTATGGGTGCAGAGTCCAAAGCCATACATGAACAACTCTTTGCATTTGTCCGGTGGAGCCATTGAAGCAGTATTAGCAGACGGGGAGTTTTCACCGCCACTTACCTCGCTAGCTCTGAGTTGCTTGCTGCGTGCGCGCTTTAGAGCAGCCTGCAAATTGAGGCGACTCGATTCCACCGCTTGTACCGTTGCAAGGGGAGGCTCAGATTCGTTTTGTGTTGCATTCAATGCTTTAGTGTCTCTGACAGGGTTTTTTGAACAATTCATTTCCTTGCCGCTTGGCTGTTTTGCACGTAGAAGAGACCGGGAATACGACATTTCTCGCTGCTGCTCGCCTGATCCTTTAGTGAAATACTTTTGCAGCAGCTCCTGCTCCGTAGGACGCTCCAGCACATGGTGCGGTTTCATAAGATTGTGCGCAGAGCAGATGAGAGGTACAAGGGCGCTACTTACGACGGACTGGAGCATCTGCTGATTGGGTTGCAGTTGTTGTTTCGTGAAGGCCAAGCAGAATTCGTCAATGTCATCTTGCAGGCGCAACAACAAAAACTGACATTCGGCATTCAATTCATGCAGCATTTCCTCTAACTCTTCTAAATACCTGTTCTTGGTAATCATATCCTATAACATACATATGAACACATATTACAAATAACTAGCATAAAACATAACATCCTCTGTACTTACGGCATCCTTTTGTTGCGCGAATACCTTTACTATTTGTTGATATACGGACATATGCGTCTTCATGGCACGTTGGCAATAGGCAATGTCATTAAGTAGAATGGGCGGCACTTTGTAGAACCTTTTCAAATAGTACTCAAAGAAGTTCTGGGCGCTTGCCAACGAATCGGCCTGTCGCATTTTGATGAGAAACGCAGTTATGATATCGTGGCGTTCCTTTTGTGTGAAATCGTTAAAATTAATGGACTCCATCATTCATGAAGTGGAATATACAACTCTATTGAATAAACGACAACAAAATTTTCAAGTGCTGAAGCGACACTCAGATTTGTTTATTTGTTTTGACGCCTGCTTTGTGGTACCATTCTGCCGCTTCTTTTTCTCTTCTCATGTGCTGTTGTTCGCTTGTAGCGTTACCAGACTACATCATTAATAAAAATGCAACTATCGATTATAAAATATCAGTCGCACAATATATTATCATATTTATTGAAATTCATTTACAATCACATTTAATTTTAAATACCAGCTATTTAAAAAAAAAAAAAATTTTAAAATAATATAAAAAAATATAAAAAAATAAAAAAAGCAATAAAGAAAATTACGAAAAGGGTGTTTCCCATTGCAATTTTTTATTTAGTGTTAAGATTGCTGCAATGGTTTTTGAAACACAACTTGCGAGTTTATTTAAAAAAAAAACTAAGAGTATTTCTAAATCAGTATCAGTTCATTGTCTAACTCCTTTCCTTCTTTCTATTTACTAAACTAAAATTTTATTACAAATATTCGCATGCCATATGTAAATAATAACAAATTTTAATGTAATTTATATTGAATAGAGTATTAGCTAACAACAGACTATTTTGATTTATAAAATTTTTTGATTTAAAACATCTTTAATTATTATTTCCCTAATATCGGCCTCTTTTTCTATGGAAGGGTTATTTTTTAAAACATTTTTTTTTGCGATGCATTCGCCATGCGTAGATTTTTTTTCCAAATTATTGGTGTGCGGCAACAAGTGGCTAGTTCCATCAATAATTTCGGAATGTATTGACCACGCTTTGAATACTTAAATTTTGCAGAATTCATTCAACTCTATCAAATAGCTCACGATATTGTTAACGAAGAATTTATCTAAAAGATTGGTCAGGTAATATGCTATTCTATATACGTATATAAACTGCTAAAACGTAATCTTATGTAGGCGCTAAAGAAGAAATGGGGATATTCTATGAATTCTTTTGAAGCCTTTCAGTTAACTTCTGATGTTTTCGAGAAGTACGTAATCTTATCAAGTGGATCTCTTGACGAAACTGAACGTTTTAAAATGGTCGAAAATTATATTACGATGAATGGACTTAACGAGGTGGCAAGAATGAAAAGAAATCCTAATGTCGTATCAGACACAATTGTTAAGCCCGAGAAGGAAATTAAGCTTAGTGTTTTAAGTGGAGAAATTGATATCGTCAATTCGAATGATGGACTTGATGACGTCACTGAAAAAATAGTAGCGGATGAAGATGATGGTGAAGATGAAAGTTCAACAAAAAATGACGGTGCTGAAAGAAAACTTCAAATCATTAAGAAAAATTACATAAAGGACTTGCTCGCCCACATCAACTTTAACAAAACGACAATTTTTCGATGGACCGGGAAAATCGGATTTGTTGGATTATGAAGCTAAATATAATTTATTATACACAATAGGATAGTGTGTCCTGTTTGACTCTTAAAATCTCTCTATAATGATCAAATGTTATGAGACAAGGTTTTCGTACAACAATTTCGTAATAAATATACAAGTATTTTACCATTTTTCTTATCAACTTTTTGAATATACTGCATAAGCTATAATTTACAGAAAATATTAGGGAACAATTACTAGTGCTCAAAGCTTTTCACATGCTATATTGTAAAAGCGATTCTTTGTCAGGACCTTTTGATTCTAAGATACTTTCTCTCTTAACTCTGCTATTATAAGAGAAAGTTAGGGGCAAAAAGTCACTGCTCTTCAACATTTTTCAAATGCGGTTAGTAAAAGTTTGCTTTCTTGACTAAAACAAAAAATGTTCGGGCCATAAAAAACCGACTCCAGAAACAGCAAGAACACAGACGAAGGCGACAAAACAAAGCAATGCCAAAAAGGACAATAGCATCTAATAGGCCGTTAGTGGCGATGCTGGCCATTGAAGGACTCGGGCGTTCTCGCTACCCCTCATTTATCATTTACACGCCAACGCACGTGAACGCAAAAGGGAACTGTGGAAACAATTATAGTCGGTGACCAAAGGCAAGACCCCAAGATTTCTATTTCAGACTCCACACAACGGCAACAAAAAAGTGAAGAAACGAAAGACAAATGCTATTAATTTTTAATACAAGTACGCGGCAAAATGTTTAGGAGGGTCGGGAACACAAAACATTGACCTCCTCCCTATCATTTGCATTGATTAAATCAGTTTGTGGTCTCTCCGGCAAATGGCTTAAAAAACGCCGGATACCCAACATTCCACTCAATTTTTGCTGTACGTCCATTTGTATTTACTACTCGCCGTTGATTTTCCTTTACCTACGATTTTATTACGCCTTACAAATTACTGCTGCACATTTAGAAAAAAAAAGTTGTTTCTATACCTTTTGCTCTGTATTCCACTTCTATTTCAACTTTTCGCTCTTAATGAAATGGGCAGGACGAAATCACTGGACTGGTAGATGGAATGCCACAAAATGTTCAATCTTGACACACAATTCAATAAATTGCTCATTATGGCAGCCAATGAACAGAATACATACATACATTATTTGAATACTTATTTAACGTAACTATAGGCCTTTATTTCCCAACTTTTACGTTGACTTGGGTTAAGCCACAGTTAGCTATTCCATTGTATTTTTCTTCCATATATCCTCCAATAAATTGTTAACCAATAATATTAAACTTAGCAATACAAATACAAAATTGTTTAATTAAGAATATTTTAAAGTGGCATTCTTAAGAATATTCTTTAAGCACTGTTTTGAATCAAGAAAATTTTAAATAAAATTATGATCTGAAGTTAAATCATTTAAAAGGTTGTTTGGCTGGATGAAATTACATTGACTGAGAATGTTCAACATTTGGTTTAACTTTCTGCATTTGAGTAATGGAGCCGGTTCTGGTGACGCCAAATGTATCAGTGAGCAATTTACATACATAGATTGAATAGCCTGAGGAGTGCGAGGACAGGGCACACTAGATGTCATTTCATTTTAAATTCGAACTCTCAAATGCAGACAGGGAATACCTTGATACTGCAACGGTGACGGGTTAGTTAGGGAGTTGATGGATAGGAATTGTTGTACCAAATTTGTACAGCTGTGCCACTCACTTTCGTTCTACCTATTCCATTGTTCTTGTGTATTATGTGTGTTCGAGCCAAACTACTAGCGCCCAAGGGAAATGCACACGTTGCATGGAAAATGTTTTTACTTGCATGTAAGTACAATAATGTGTGTGCGCGCTAACGTATGAATATTCATATATACATATCTAGGCAAAAATCTGAAACAATATACATATGTGAACAGTTATGACAAGTGATTTCAATTTCAGTATTGTTAAGTATACATACATACATATGTATGTATGTAACTAAGCCAGGCAACAAAGCACATGTTCAGCATATGTACACATATCAATAATGGATCAGCAGTATGCTCACTTCTGTACTAACTTCCAACTTCATGTGTTTTTTTTTTACTTTATAGCCCGGTAGTCTTTTTTGTACTGAATAATAGTAATGCAGCCAGTTACCATTTAAAATTTAAATCCTTAATGACAATTTGATTAAACATGTGTGCACTTCGAAGCTTTTAAAATTAACGTCCAATGTTAGAGCTTTGCGTGCGTCGAGTGGCAACGCTAGGTGCGGCTAAGGTGGCAGCCCTGTGCAGTTATCAAACAGCAGCAACAGCTGTTTGCAGTCGTTTGGCTTGCCTAACATATTTTTCATTTAAAATACAATTTAACTATGCTTACTTTTTGCAGACGCGTACCAATTAAACGCCTTTTACGGCGCTTACATAATGAAGGTGAGTGAACACAAAAGAAAGTGAAAGAAAATTATATATCCAGTGCTAGTCGTCCGTTTTGCTATGTCGCGGCGCTAAAGTAGATCCCAACTATTAAAAATATTTGATAAAGAGCATTTCGTTTGGTTGCAGCTGCCGCAAACCCCAATAACACTAACAGTCTAATAAAGTTTCATGGCAAATGGCCGGTGTTGGAGCAAGATGAGTTCACACAACACATGCGCATTATTAGCAACTTCATTACCGTAGAGGAGGAGCAGCAGCTGCATGAGGAAATTGAGCCGTATATGAGTCGTTTGCGTTACGAGACTGATCATTGGGATGATGTACATAAGTGTAAATTTGAGGCATTAAGAAGATTGTGTCTCACCGAATATATCATCATCTTTGCAGGCGATACAAGGCTTTCGCGAAACGGAACGTAAAAAATGGTATCCACACAATCGTGCTGTATTAGAGCGTGTGCGTCAAGTGGCCTTCGATGGTGCAATTATGCCCTATGTTCATATATTGGATTTGGCGGCTGACGGTGTCATTAAACCGCATGTGGACAGCACGCGGGTAAGTCCTTAGGTGCGGCACTGATTGTTATTTATGTCTTAAAGAGTAATTTCTTTTATTTTCTTAGTATTGCGGCAACACCATATCGGGCATAAGCTTGCTGAGTGACAGTGTCATGCGTTTGGTGCGCACAGATGCTGAAAAATACCAGCAAGGCAACACGGCTTCTAACGACAAGGAAAAGGATACGGCGTATCGACATCAGCCTGTGCCACTGCGGGATGATAATTTCTATGCAGATCTCTTGCTACCACGTCGCTCACTTTATATCATGAGCCATACCGCCCGATATAATTTTACGCACGAGATCCTGGCTAATGAGCATGCTACCTTTTGTGGCAATCCAGTTCAGAAGACTCGTCGCATTTCTATCATATGCCGCAATGAGCCCTGAAGCTGTGTTATACATACTTATTATTGTTAAACCATTTATTAATTTTTCATGCAGGTTTATCGAGTCTGTTTTTTTTAAATTGAAAATATAATGTGCAATCATATAAAAAACACGTTTTCATTGAACTACCTATGCTGAGCTACATATGCATATAAATGTCTGAGCAAATAAATTGTACACAAATTTTTATTCTTTTTTAGATGTAGGCTTTGAAAAGTAAATTTCACAGAAGTTTTTCTAATTGTTTTAATTTAAATAACATATTCATGGTATAATTATGACATATGTATGTGCCCACAGTATTTGTCTGTCGAAACATAATCAGTTTTAAATGAAATTTTATGCGAATATGGAGGGAAATGGCAATTTTATTACTACTTACACTTACTTCACATCACAATGCAATTAATTCCGCGTTACAAACCGGCGTTACAATCGGAAGTTCAAGTAACAAATAAAAACTTGTAATATAATTCGAATAAATAAGTAGAAGCCTAACAATGGTGCAACAATCTCAACTAGCCTCAATAAAAACTGCACACCAACAACATGCAACACGCAACACATACATCCAAGCGCATTGCACCTTCGACGTTATGGCTGTGTACATCTTTGATTAAAACTGGAGAGCTCCGAAAACAGCTTAAGAGGCCCGCAGCAGCACGGCACAATCCAATACAGACCTGTCGAAGGCCTGTCTAGACGACTCTCTGGCTTTGAGACCGTTTTTAGTGCCATGTGGTGTCGTTTTTGTTCGTCTACTGCTCGACACCTTATTTTCAACTGTTTGTTTATTAAAGGGTTTCTACGCTTGCTTTGTATAAGTATTGGCAGGAACCATTTCAAAATATATTCTTACATACATGTACTTACATTCGGCATATACACAACTAGTTTGCATCCTGCGCTTGCTGCTGGCTTTCAAAACGTAATGCGAGCCTTGCTTTCATGCATGATAACATAAAACATGACAATTTGCTAATTATATCATAAATTTTCCGGGCACAACAAACAGAATAAGACGAGCGTGCGCGCTGTTATAAATGCGACGATTATGAGTATTGTTTATGAATGATAAAAGACAACGATACCCGCAAAAACAACAATGAGCGTTATGTGCGAACAGCCGTGAAAAAAGGACAATCAGTATGAGTCGTTTCGCCAATTCGCTAACAGACTACACACTGTTCGTTGGCTGTTATGGTAATGTGACAGCGAAAAAGCTCTCTGCCAAATGCTCTTTACTGTTAAGATAACATCCACAATGTTAGTTTAATTTCACTTCGCTGTTGTTAGAAAGAGATTATTCTAAAGAGTATTTTAGTTTCCATTAGATGGGATTTAAATATATATATTCGATTTAAATATCTTCTAGAATTTAAATATTAGCTAATAAGTATGAATTAGAATACATTTTAAATCAGTTTAATAACTCTATTTTCATTTATAATACATATATAAATATTTCACAAAACTGCGGGTTTGTTTAAATAAATTAATTCTTCTTCTTCTTCTTGACTGGTCTTCAAACCCGTTATCGGGCTATGACCTGACGTAACACAGCTCTCCACGCGCCTCTGCTTCGCGCGCGTCGCTTCCAGTTGGTCACTCCGCAGGTAGTAAGTGCGTTCTCTACCTGGTCCTTCCAACGTAGGCAAGGCCTCCCCCGTCGTCGTCTCCCCCCAACATCCGCATCGAGAACTTTTTTCGCTGGAGCGTCTTCTTCCATACGCACGACATGACCTAGCCAGCTTAGCCGCTGGATGTTTATTCGCTTGACTATGTCAATGTCAGCGTAGAGCTCGTACAGTTCGCTGTTCCATCGTATGCGGTAGTCGTCGCCAACGCGTATGGGACCGAAGATCTTCCGAAGCATCTTTCTCTCAAACACTGCAAGAGCTGCTGCATCAGTCTGCGATATCACCCATGCTTCTGCACCATAAAGCAGCACGGGGAGGATGAGCGTCTTGTAGAGCGTTAGCTTGGTTTTTCGGGAAAGGTCTCTGCTACTCAATTGCCTACTGAGGCTGAAGTAGCATCGATTGGCTAGAGTTAATCTCCATTTGATTTCTAGGCTGACATCGTTGGTTGCTGTGACGGTGGTGCCAAGATACATAAAATCTTTCACCATTTCGAAAGTATAGTTTTCCACCGCGATCTGGGAGTCTGGTTGCCGCGTGTCCCTGCTAGAGGAAAACATATACTTAGTTTTGCTCTCATTTATCACCAAACCCACTTTTGCAGCTTCCTTCTCAATAGCCGCAAATGCTCCGGTGACGCCTCTCCTGGTACGGCTGATAATGTCTATATCATCAGCGTACGCAAGAAGCTGAACGCTTTTAAAAAAGATCGTTCCGCCTCGGTGTACACCAGCTTTGCGCACCACACTCTCCAGCAGGAAGTTGAAGAGATAGCACGAGAGGGCATCGCCTTGCCTGAAACCTCGAACGGTATCAAAGGGTTCGGAGAGGTCCTTTCCTACCTTGACGGAGCTACGAGTGTTGCTCAACGTCATTCTGCAAAGTCGCACTAGCTTTGCAGGGATACCGAACTCAGACAGTGCGGCATATACACGTTCCCTCCTCGGGCTATCGAATGCTGCTTTATAATCGACGAAAAGATGGTGGGTATCGATTTGAAACTCATGGGTTTTCTCCAGGATTTGGCGTAGCGTGAATATCTGGTCAGTGGTGGATTTACCAGGCATAAAGCCGCACTGATAAGGCCCAATCAGTGCTATCGCAAATGGCTTTAGCTTATCACACACTACGCTTGATATGACCTTATATGCGACGGAAAGAAGGCTGATTCCACGATAGTTGGTGCAGACCGTGGGATCACCTTTTTTTAGGACGGGACATAGGACACCGAGATTCCAATCATCAGGCATGCTTTCAGTTAGCCATATTTTGCAGATGAGCTGGTGCATGCACCCTACCAACTCATCGCCGCCTGCCTTAAACAGCTCCGCAGGCAGCCCATCTGCTCCCGCAGATTTGTTGTTTTTGAGCCGCTGGATGGCTGTTTCGACTTCGTCATGGCTAGGTGACGGTACTTCAATACCATCGTCGGCGATCGGTTCTGTGGGGTCATCTCCGCTGGCGGAATTGTTAACATCTTCGCCTGATAGAAGATTGGAGAAATGTTCCCTCCACAGTCTCAGTGCCGCTGGCCCGTCCACCACCAGATTTCCTTCCGAGTTCTTACAGGCTGACGCTGCGGGCTTAAAACCTTGTGTTAGACGCTTCACCTTCTGGAAAAATTTCCTAGCGTCGTTCCTGTCTCTACAAAGCTCCATCTCCTCTCGCTCTCGCTTTTCTTGCTCTCTCTTCTTGCGTCTAAAAAGCCGCCTCTCCTCCCTCTTCTTCTCCCGATATACATCATGCACAGCGCGCGTTGTCGCCGTCTGCAGGGTTCTTTTGTACGCGGCATTCTTCGCTGCAGTGGCTTCGCGGCACTCCTCGTCGTACCATTGGTTTCTCGGTAGCGGCTGTTGGAAACCAATGACATCTTCTGCGGCTGTGTGCAGTGAGCGGGAAATATGTGCCCAAAGTCCGCTACCAGTATCGGTTTCCGAGAACGGTTGAGAAAGCAGCTCAGAGAGTTGAGCGGAGTAAGCTTCGGCAGTCTGTTGTGCTAGCAGCTTTCCGACGTCTAGTTTTCGCTGCGTGTTGGGGCGTACATTTTTCGCCATGCATAATCGCATGCGGACCTTGGCTGCAACAAGTTGGTGGTCCGAATCAATATTCACACCACGGAACGTACGCACGTCCAGCACACTGGATGCATGCCTTCCATCTATCACAACATGGTCTATTTGATTTTTTGTCATTCGATCGGGTGACTGCCAGGTAGCTTTGTGGATATCAAGGTGTTCAAATCTGGTGCTACTCACCACCATGTTTCGTGCTGCGGCGAAGTCAATTAGCCTCAGTCCATTGTTGGATGTTGTCTCGTGGAGGCTGAATTGTCCGACTGTCGGGGCAAAGACGCGCTCTCTTCCAACCTTGGCATTAAAATCGCCAAGAACAATTTTAATGTCATGAGAGGGGCAGCGGTCATAGACTGTCTCCAGTCCCGCATAGAACTCGTCCTTGGTAATCTCGTCTTTGTCCTCCGTCGGAGCGTGGACGCAAATCAGGCTTATGTTGAAAAATCTCGCCTTGACACGGATGGTTGCCAGCCGTTCGTTCACAGGTGTGAACCTAGAGACACAGTTACGCAATCTCTTGCTGACCGCAAAACCGCATCCAAATTCGCGTCTTTCTGCATGGCAGCTGTAGTAGATGTCAAAGGCTGCTCTTTGGGAGCAACCCTGACCTGTCCATCGCATTTCCTGGATGGCGGTGATGTCAGCTCTTACTTTATTGAGAGCATCCGCCAATTGGATAGTAGCACCTCCTCTGTTAAGGGTCCGGACATTCCAGGTGCATATCCTTAAATCGTGGTCCTTTAAACGTTTGCTAGGGTCGTCAACTTTTGGGTGTTCCTTATCCGAGGCTGTTGTTATGTCCTTCACTGGGAGTAAAAAATTTTCATGTGGTGGGTCCCAAGCCCTACGCACAAAAGCGCTGCACACATTTGCTCACTTACCAACTCCGGATGGAGCCGGAAAGCTACCCAGAGAGCACCGCGAGGAGGTCGTGTGTCAACTTGATGATGGCAGAGACAAAGATCACAAATAAATTAATTACTTCTCCAAAAAATACACGACGTACCGGTGAAAATGGTAACCAATTTCTTTTAGCGAGGCCAATTACGCTAAATACAATAACTAATTACAACAATTGGAGGGAAGTGCAATTGAAGGTAGCTCACAGCCATAATGTATTGGAGTTTCTCTACTTCAAGCTCAATCAGGTATTATACTGTTATTAATATAAGTAGGTGAGACTGTATTAACGAAATCTATCGGATGTGATGTGAAAACAAAGTTGTCTGTAATGTCAAAACCACTGTACTGGGTCCGCTTAAGAAACTTCAAGTGCTTTCAAAAAAGTGGCTTAAATACTTTGGAAAGTACCAACAGAAGGGATTATCTAACACTGGCAGATGCAGCAGAGGCGAAAATAACTTCAAATGAAAGCAAAATGAAGATATACACCTGCGTTTTGCAGGTGAGTCGATAAAAAAGCTATCAACTTTGGGTGCCCTACAGAAATCTACTCACAACACAAAAAAAAAACAGCAACGAAACGAAAACAAGGCTACGACAAAGTGGCGTGTACTTCGCGAAAAAAAAAACAACCAAAAAATGTTGAACAACAAAATGGAAGAGAAGTGAAAAGTTTCTACAAATTATCAACTGCATGTTAAAGCAACAGCAACAACAATAACTACAATAATCACTCGACCAGGAGCGGGAACTAGGACGACATTTTCGAGTGCCAAGTGCGCATAAAAAGGGACAAACCCACTTTGTTCCTTGCTGTTTTTCTTTCATTTCTTTATGGAAACTCCTTTCTTTTGGTTATTGTGATTATTATTGTTATTATTTGCAGCGCTCTCAAGCTGGGCGGACCATAATAATTTTACCCTTTGTGCAGCCCCAAAGTTGCGCATTTCAATAATTGAAACTTTTTCATGTTTTCGAATTTAAAAGCGCGAATTTTTTAGCACCACTTATTAGCATTTTGACCCCATTCGTTGGTTCGTTGACGATTTAGTTTGATTGTAGCAAAGTTAAAAGGTTTTCCGCTTCCGACTTCATCTACAAACACTGAGTAACTAATGCAATAATCGTTGAGCTGAAGTTGTATTTGTATCTTATCTTGAAATGATTGAACCTAGTTATAAGTGTTTAAGGTAAGATACGGCTTAAGATACTTATAAACGCAGATCAGTTCAAGCGATCCTTGATCGAAGATCTTGTTTCCTGTCATCTGTGAAGTTTGTTTCAAAAACGATTGCAATTTTTACAGGCCAAAGAATTGTTTGTCAAATACAATACGTTTTTCGATGATAATGTGGTTTTTTAGGGCCAGACTGTGAATCAAAATGCATATTTTGTATATGACATTTTTTTGCTTAATAACATGATGATTATTTACATTATTTTACAAAAGAATGCAAAATGAATATTCTTTGAAAAATCGTTGTAAATAAAAAAATTCCCAAAATAATAATTTATATTCTCTCATTAAAGGCTTAACAGTGCTTCTACTTTCGAGATCGTTCCGTTTATACAGACAATCGACCGGTCAGACGGACATGTTCAGATCAATTCTTTCTTTCATAATGCTTTAAAATAATGTATATGCGGTTTGATAGTTTGCTTTCCGTGTAGCACATCAAATGCTTCCTTAGCTTCTACGTAGTACAAGGTATAATAATTTTTACTGGCAGCGATTTTTTTTTTTTTTTGTTTTTTTTTTTTTTTGTTTGGAAATCAAGATAACTTGAAATACATGCATCTCCAGATTTTTTATGCAACTGTCGTTTAAAATGTACTCTAGATAATGAAAAGATGTGTTGACAATGTGAATGTCGAGTTAAAGTAAAAGAATAACCAAAGCACACAGAACTGGGACGTCAAGACCGAGTAAAGAGTTTCCCCACCCAACAAAAAAAAAAAAAGTAAAAACAAATCGCCTTGGGTATGCAAGCTTTGCTTTGTCATCGGCTTTCTGTGAATTTTTCGCGACATGTGCGATGCAAAAAGGCTGGGCAACCCCTCCCAAAGATATGACACATTTCCGGTGTTGCTGAGAGCAACCGTTTAGCATTTAAGGCGCAGCTCCTGCAACAACATCAAATCCAATTAAATGACAGTCGAACTCAAAAACACAAAATATTCATGTAACAACGTGTTGTTTTCCATTAAGCATTTACTATAGCTTGATTGCGAAATGAACTGAATTCCATGGCATCGTCAAGTGGCAAGTGGCAAGTGACACAAAAAGCATAAATAACGTTAAGCGCATCGTCTGCACTTCTTCCTTCCACTTAAACAGATTAATTGAGCATAAATTTTTAATGCGCTGCACTTGAATTGCCGCGCAAAATGGCGTGTGGAAAGGATGGGGAAGCGAAGGCACATTACAGGTGGGGCGGGACACCTTTGTCACGGCTTCCATACACACATACATTTGTATAAGAAGCGGGCCTAGTACAGTTTCCAGATTTCTTAATCACTCTACCCTTGTCAGGGCCATCTGCTGTCCATGCCATTAAGTCGATAGTCATGTCCATTAATCATGAATATAACGCAGTAAAATCGCCTGCCCGGGGTCGCTCGTATTGAGCGCCACAGCTTGCGACTTGTTCTTGAGACTTTGACATTTTGGGCGTACAATTATTTATATTAATAAGTAATTATTTGTTTCACTTGACAAATTTCGCCACTCACGCGGGTAGGGGGAATCTGCCTTGGTTATTAAAATTACAGCTTATTAGCTTTAATTAAATGAGTCAAAAAATTACTTAATATTGTTATTCAATTGGCATCAAACTACAAATTACTTATAATAATCAAAGATTACTTCTCGATCATTGTATAATTCTTTTTCCATTTATTTAAGCTTCGGCTTTGACGACAGCTTAATACATTCCCTATAAGCAACTCAGAAGCTTGCTTAGATAGATAATTGCGTCGCAGGACCCGTGCTTTACATTCTGGGAGACTTAAGCAGATTCGATACAAAAAACTGAAGCCTCATTTTTATTTGCTAGAAAGGCAATAGCTTGCATTTCTTTCCCTCAGTCGCCTCTCGAATACCCTGTAACTACACTTTCTCCCGCTGCAGGCTTTCAATTAAATTAGCATTGTTGTTCCAATCCTTTCTAAGGCAGCTACATGATAGAGTAAATTCATTTTTTTTTAAATTTTGATAGTATTTTAATAATGCCGAACTTTCCAGCAGCTATATGATATAGCATGGGGTCTGCCACGCCTCCTTCTGCCTGTCCCATATATGTAGACTAGTATACGGTCTACCATTTCAACCCTTGGCTACAGGGTATACAAAGAAAGCCAAAATAAGCAACAGATATATAACTATTACATGCACTCATTAACTCAGTTTTTATTGAAAGTTTGTTTTTCGGCGTTCTTTGGTCACTTTTTCGTTGACCTATCCCTGTAGGTCTTGCATTTGCATTCAACCTTGTTGTCCACCTCCCCGGAGGCCGCACTCCAGCCAGCAAGGCGCTTCTGGCGCTCCTCTTCGCGTATACGCCGCGCCTCCTTGGCCTTAGTAAATGCTGTTATATTACAGGTCTTTCCAGGTGGCTGCGGTTTTTTTTGAAAGTTTTTGCGTTGCTTGATTCGCTTACGTTTGTTCAACCACCAGTTGAAGTCGGGCTCGATGTAATTCTCCTTAGCCATGATGCGCTTTTCACGCAAGAAATGTTGGCGCTCCTCAAGCCACTGGCGTCCGAATTCCCAACCCAACAACAATCCCATGGGCGGATCCTCATGCTTTTTCTCAAACGAAGCGTAGAAGTATATCCTTTCCGGCGGATTATGAAATATGTTATTGCAGTCTTGAGATTTGCGAACGGGCAACGACCGCGACCAAAACTCGGACAATGGTTGCATTTTATTTCCAATTTGTAAATATTGCGTTTATTTATTTTAGTCTTGTTTTCGGTTTGTGTTACTTGTATTTTTTGTATTTTTATTTACAACTCCCTGTTAGTGTGTGATGTTCTGCTTTCAATAATCTGAACTAAACTTAATTGACACTTTGCCTCAGTGCCTACTTGAATTATAAAAACAAATTTCTGCCTTTGTAGATTTTTTGCAACATTTTGAGCAAAGAATTTCACTCTAGAAATTGATTAGAAATGTAAACGCTAAATCGCAAGAGTTTGTAATGCTTGTTTTAGGCATCTCATATCTTTTTGAGGAACTACAACTCTTAGATGATTTTCCATTTTGAAATATGGTAGACTACCTTTCATTTTTGATCACATGTATTATATATATACAAGTAAATATATATATCAAATAAAATATTATATATATATATATATATATTATATTTAATTTGATTTATGACATTATACTATTTATTAATATAATATTATTTATAAACTTGATGTTTAACGAAAAAGTGCTCCAAAAACTTTGCCAGAAAGTTACACATTTTATCTGAATGTAAGAACTTCAAGAATGTTTTGCCATTGTAGTAATATAAAGGTTATCATTTATATAATTTTTTATACTTATGTCATATTAAGGCAAGTAGATTGGTTGGTTGATTAAAACTTTTGTAAATATATAATGACAATAGGAGGAGTTTGACAAATTTTCATACATATGTCAATAAACTTTATTCAGCTGAGAAGCGACACAACAAATTGTATAAAATAAGTTTATAACTTTAAGCAAAACACAATTGAAACTTTCTGCGGTACATTTCTGCCTACTTCGAAAACTTTTACCACCCATCCTGCTCAGCAAAGTTTGTTGGCGACAACACCAGAAAAAAAAAAGAAGAAAAAAATCAACAAAAACGTCCACTAGAAAGTTTTCAGTTTGGGGTTAATAAGTACATTTCCATTTTAACTTGTGTCGATTATTTAACGGCTAAGGCCAAAGAAAAAGAGACGTCTTTGTTTCCTAAATGGGCGGCAAAACTGAAATGTCAGTCAACCTTCCAGCTGGCTCCCAGTTGGGATAGCAGCTGGGGACTTTTTTAAGCATCGCAACTTGGCGAATGCCAAAATATTTAACCATTTACTGTCACTGGCGGTCAGCTTCTCTCTTCTGTGGACAGACAAGTGGGTGGTGGTTGCGCTTTTTTCGTTCACTTTTAAAAATGTTTTATAAATTAATGCAGTTTTTCGTAAACACAACAAGCGTCCTCATTTGCATACATTTACTATATGTAGGAATTGTAAAATTGTCAAATTAATTTGTTAACTTTAAATAGCTTCTGTTCTGTTTACTATAAATTAAAATAAATTAGTTAAAGAGTGAAATAACAATTTTCGAGTTTGCCGAATTAAAAAATATATATTATAAAAAGCATAACAGCAACAATTTTTAAAACACCCAAATTAAAATATAATAGTAATAAGATATCAATTATTCTCCATCAGCATCCGAAAAGTGCCCGTCCCGATCCTTCATAGTGCACATTGCCGCAAAATGTAAATAGGTGTTGAACATGCAAGGACACGCATCGAAAGGGGGCAGTTGGTCATACTTTTGTTGACGTATGGCTGTCGGCTCAGCACAGGTGTTATAGTCATCCTCATGGCATGTGAGATCGGTATTGAGGGAGCTGCTTGATCCTGTGTTGTTGTGTGAAGGCAAGGCGTTCGAAAAGATATTCTTAGTCAAAATATGTAGCTTGAGGAGGAGGCTACTTAGGCCGATAGTTGAAGAAAAACTCGAATGGCATTTCTCAAATGGACGTGATTTGATTTAAATTTTGTCAAACAGCTGTTCACAACTGAGCTCAACAAATCCTGCAGTGTTGCCACACCAATTTGTAAAATCAAAAACCTTCTCGAAGGCTGATTGAAACTAATATTGGGATAGCTTTCCTTTGCTTTGCAGAAAATAATTTAGTTACTTGGTATCGCAAATTCTCCCTTTCGGTATTCTAGCTTATAGTTTCTGAATTACTTGCAACACAACATTTCCCCACAAATTCGTCGATGAGTTTTAAATGGATGTGCGTTTTCAACCAATAAGAAAGCAATACTAATAACAGTTTTCTCCTACAATGCTTTTTTAAAGCCTACTTTTAAAATAAAACGAGGTATTAGTTTCCTAATAAAGTAGATATTTAGTGATGAGGCTTGGCACCTTATTGGATAATGGATGGATTTCGGCTGTTTCACGAAATCAATATTAAATTGGGCTGAAGAAGCTAATGGTCTGTCCACATATTCCCATTAATACCTCTTTTGAGTTACTTTCAATCTTTATCGTGAACTACTTACTGTAAGTCTCTGTGCATTCGTCTTCATCAGTATAATCTGTTTGTCCTGCATCCTGCACGTCATCTCCCATCATCTGCCTGTCTTTGTGAGCACGCTCCCAATCGATGAAGCTGCGACAACACTCAACAGCCTTTTTCGACTCGTGTGTGCAAGACTCATCCTGGAACTTGACGGTGCGTATCCGCTTATCACAGATTGTAGAACGTGGGGGTTTACTAGAAGGCGATACTGGACATGGGCCACATGGTGGTTGCAAGTCCTCGACTTCGGCTAAATTGTCGTCCATGTCCGGCTGCTGTGAGATATTCATGCACGGGCTACTCTTTGCTTCCTCATAATAGGTGGTGGCACTGTCGGTGTTCGTTTTAAGTTGGTGCTGAGATCTAGGCGTACCAGATGCACAGTGCGGGAGGGCCGCGTATGCTTCGTTACATTTCCCATTTGGTGCTGCATAACTAGGGTCAACCAATGGGGCTTGAGCATCTCGGTAGATGGGCGAACCACAGGTCTGACGTTGACGTAATGCCGGGGCACACGCATCTGTGTTGCTTTCATAACTCATGTAATCGTTGTCGCGGAAACTCTTATAATCTTCACTCGCCGAAGGTGTAGGCTCATAAAACTGGCAGTGTGATTGGACATCGTCAGGAGTGCGGATGTTATGTTCCATTTGTCGGCGATAGGTCCGATTCTTTTCTATAGTCTGAGCAGGATCTTTACGTTTCTCGTAACTAAAGCCACATTCAGTGGAAGTCCCATAGGCACTCTTCTTGGTAAGACTCGAGCTCTCATTTGGTTGATGGGAGGCAGAAGCCGAGCTGTAACGGTTCATTGGTGGATTCTGAACCTCACATTCCCTTAGCATTTGGCTGGACGATCGTAGTGCTTGAGCTGCCAATTTCTGCTTTTGCTCTAGCTGTGAAATAATTGCCTGAGTCTGATCACCATACAGGGGCACTGCAGGTGGGGTTGACAGCCGCCTTCGTTGGCCGGTTTGAACAGTCGATGGTATAGCCTGAGCATAGCATGGAGAACCACGAATAGGTGGTTCGTCCGGGAGCTGTTGGTCACAAAATTCTTGAAGGTTTCGTGCCGGCGGCGGTTGGTCCAATTCGCAGCTCGGGAACGACTCATATTCTTGCGATACCAGTTGTGAGCTGTATGATGGGTCTGCACTAAGCTGGATGCGATTCCTCGATTGTTGTACACTACGTCGCCGCTCGGTTTGCCAATCCTGCGTATTAGATGTATTGGATACTTCCTGAGGGCAATAGAAGTTGGTCCGTGTGTTTCCAAGATCGTAAGATATTCTGGGCCATTGACTCTTTTGTTCACGAGATGGTGACGATTGGTAGGAATACGCTTGACTCGATTGTCTTGTTGGTGGTACTTGTTGTTCATCGCAGCTACACGCTTGGTCTTGTCTAGTTGCTTGTTGATTTTGATAGACATGTGCATTAGCTGGAGGAGAACGTGGAGGCGAATATGTTGGCGATAAGGGGGGTGGTGGCTGCATCTCTGCAATCATTGAAACCGTTTGGGTTGCCTGTGTTGACGATGAATAGGGGGGCAACGACTGCGGTGGAAATGCGTTGCCCGCTTCCAGGTCTATGTAGTCGGGACCACTGGCCCGCGAGATGTAATGCACACATTTCTTTTCAGTCTGTTCAGTTTCGCATTTTACTAGAGGCGATCCCTCCTTTTCGGGGCGCTTTATTGAAATTACACGCCTCGCTGAAGAATGGCATACAGATGTAATTGCTCCCGTGCTATCATCTGGCAATTGCGAAAAGCGCTGGTCTCTACGACCTCCAGAGTCCTTATCATCATTAATACCACACTGATCTTGTAAATAGTTGGTTGGCGTAGTTGGCTGTGGCGCCAATGGGGCTTCCTCCTCTGCAAAGCACTCTTGAACAGAAAATGGTTTTGATTGTTTCCCTCCGCTGGAATCGATGCATTTATTAGCCGGAAGGGGCTGTTCAACATATCCATTATCAGGTCGCTGTTCTCTTTTACTGCTTTGGGATTGCCTTCTGGATGGGGCTGGTTGACAATAACAATTGGAAGTTCTTTTGAATTGCTTTATCTCAAGAGTCTTGATAGTCTCTGGAGATAGTTTCGTATAAGTCGGACTTATTTCTGGTTCCAAGCATTGTTGTTGTATATCCTTATTGGCAGATCTTTCATGCTCCGCTTTATACATTTCCATATACTCATGATATATTTGTTGCTTTTCCTCGTCGGTTCGATCATCACAAGGAACAGTAGTTTCGGTAACTGGGACTTGCATTTTCTCTGGTGGTTGCGGACATTCCTTGGGCTCCTTCTTGGTTTTTGCTTGGTCCTCCTTTCGCAAGGTTACCTTCATTATCTTCTCATGACTCTGAACCTTGTACTGGGCAAGAGATTCAGCGTCCGCTATGCCACTTTCTCTAAGCTTTTTTTCAATACGCTGATTCATTGTACACTTGGCAATAGATTCACCTTTCGACTTCGATTTGGATTTTGGACGCACTGGTGATGTTTTTCTTCCTTCTTTTTCCTTTTCCGTTGAGCGTCTATTTTTAGACGATGAGCCAACCGAGGAATGCCGGGTTCGATCCCGTGTCCTGGAGGGTTTTCGTTCAGCAAACAATTCCGAGTACCAATTACGACAATAGTCTTCGGTATTTAAATCGCTTGCTCGGCGCGAATGGGGTGAATGGTTGCAACAGCAGAATGCTGGACTGGGGTTCCGAACGGATGCCTGTGGTGTCGACTGCTGCTGTTGTTGTTGTGGATATGCAGGATACTGATATCCTGTGTTTGGCGAAGACATTTCACAACACCTACAAAATTGTAGCGGAGGCTGCTGTTGAGCCTGCGCTGGATGGCAGTGACACTGTCCACTATAAAGGGAAAAATATGGCGCACTAGATCCATAATCTGCCTGATATACCGTGCCAGGCTGCTGTGGATTATGGCCAAAGGTGCAGCCACCAGCGAAGCGTCGTTCCTTCGTGCGACTCACATGCCGTGAGTGTTCCTGCTGTTTATTTGAAGTTTTGTTGGTGGTGAGACGCTTTCCGCGTCGCCCAGAGGAGTCCACATTTTCGTGTTGAGGCTGTCGCATGCCTATGCTGCGAAAACGCGGCGAGCTTGGCGCATATTTACGTATTCGGTCTGATTGTATGGAGCTGTCATCTGTGAGTTGGCTGAGAGCTGTTCCTCGATTTGCTGATAGGCTTTGCCGCCATGTCATGGTGCTGGGTGACGGCGCCTTTCCAAAGTCTAGTTTGTTTTCCTCCTTGGCTCTCCGTGATTTATTTGTCTCCTTGTCAACAAAATAGTCCCGAAACTTCTTTAATCGGTCTATTTCATTTTCAATTTTATTGTTCAATGCGTCCACCTGCAATCTGGTGCGCAGGATTTTAGTGTCGCTGAGCGATGATGTTGGCTCTACAGTCGGCACCTGGTCACGTCCACGAGGAGTGCTTTGACTATGCCACTGCTTGTGACGAAAAAGTTCCCGCACCTGCGTTTGTGTATTCTTAATAAAGACGTTACCCTGCTCTTCTATAGAAATGCGCTCCTGACGTTCCAATACGATGCTACGGCCTGTAAAATAATTTGGACAGTTTAGCTATCAAGGTCGCCTTCAACTTCTTACCTTTGCTGTGGTGCTTAGTTTTGTGTTTTATATCCATAGACTTTTAATTGGAGTGCTAGCATGTGTTATGTATTTTTATGTAAAAAGCACAAAGTACAGCACAAATATATAAAATTTTGCTTTTTAAGTTATCAGTGTTTGCCTGTATTTATAGTTACCGCATTAAAATCCCAGCTCCCAACGATCACAAGCAATTTATATCAATTTTTCTGTCACCAAAACAAATACATTTCAAAATTCAAAAATGTTCTGTCACACACATTGGCATTTAAATCGATGCAGCCAAGCAATCAATCGGTTAACCGTTTCACAATGGCACAATCGCAGAGTCTGGCAACGCTGTCCACTCACCCACACACTCAGCTGAGCTCGGTGTTGGGCGCGCAGACGAAGCAGTTTGTTTGTTTTAAAGCGCAGTCGCAATGATTCTGTCGTGAACGTCGCTACGCCGAGCCGTCGCTTCGCAGCAAGTGCTTTTCGTAAAAATATAAACGTTATATTTGTGCATTTTGAAAAGTGTAACCCTTCGGCGTATTAAGTAAAATGTTTTTGAGACAATTACTCATGTCTGTACTTGTATATGCCACTGTTCGACGCGTCACTTTACATTTGTTATGCGGCTGTGCTTGTGATTCTGGTTGTGATTGTGAATGCGATTCTTTAAAGTCGTAGTGCGCACGCGTAGGTGGCCAAAGTGGCAGTTATGGCCATAAATACAAATATGTATGTACGCGTAAGCAGATATTGAATATAACAACAACAACAACAACAAACAAACAAACAAATACAACAAATGCCATTAAATGCCATTTATAATAATGCTTTCAAAACTGTGGCAGCAACACCAACAGCAACAACCAAATGGATGTAGATGTGCAATTTGTACTCAACTTCTAGCCGGTGCCAACCTACGGATGCGAAGTCGGTGATGTAAGCGCGTCCGTATTTTGCTAATCTTGGTCTGGCTGCTGTCTAATGTCTAATGCAGCAGTCGAGCCAGCATGTAAGCACCTCCGGCTTTGGCAAATATTCTTATTGATTGGATTTTGCAAATTGAGCAAACTTGCCCACCCACCCTCAGTGGTTGTGCTTGACTTTTATTTTTTTTTTAGTTTGGGCGAGCGTCATTTATCATAAAATACATATCATATATTCCATACAATATGTATGCATGTGGTATATTGAAACTATGAACACTATGAATACGCAGTTAGGCGTATTTGTGTTGCATTTCATGGCTTGGGCTGACTCGGCTCATTATCAATTCAAATGTTATTTGTTTTTATTATGCGTCCAAATATTTGGCTATAAGCCCGTAGTACACATATACGAGTAAGGCATGAAATTTTTTTTGGTTAGCTTCAAAATCATTTAATGACGCTCTATCGAATGTTTATGGAAAATGAATAACATATTTGCAAACGCTTAGGAATAAGGCTACCCATTTCAGTCGGAGAATATATGCTAAAATGTCGCGCGATGCCAATACATTCATTGCTAATTATATGAATGGCTCATCATTACCATTATTTGCATTCGTTCTTAATAAGTTTCTGAGTTGAGCAATAGTTTAAAACGCATAGTTACTTATTTGCCTTTGTTTAACACTCGTATACTAAAAATTTGTCGTTTATCGAAAACATTTCTAAGCACAATCCAAGTCAAACATTGAAGAAACTTACGAATCTGCGAATTGTAGTTCCATATCTTAATCTTTCCACATCATTTTGAATAAAGACTACAATTGCTTACTATTAGTATTAGAAACTTCTTCGAATACATTAATAATATTAATATGTATTAAGCTTATAAAAGCACTACTGATTAGGTGCTATTTCTTAAATCATTTCGACTAAGATCATATGATTATGTTAGTTAGAACTCTATTTTAACACGTTATTAATATAGCAGCAAAGATTCAAAATCAATTTTCTTTAACAATTAAATGCTCGTACTTTAAAGTTTGTCAACCATAAAAGTACTAACTAATTAAATAAAAAGGAAATTATAAAGGGAAAAAAGAAAATTTAATTTAAAATGTAAGCTAATGATGATACTTACAGAACTCTTTGTAATCCAGCTGGATTAAATGGAACTAACTATTAAACCCCCGAACATTTTTGGAAAACCAGACATTTGGATTTGATGCAACTGTTTTTTATTTTATTAATATTAATATAAATTCTCAATTTTTGAATGAGTAGAATGAATATTAAGTAATTATTCTATGTGGGACTAAAATATATTTTACTTTTAACCAAACGGCCTATTAATTAGCCCAAACTTGCAATCCTATGATAATAATCTTGAATGAAAATGTATCTCTGTGGTAGAAACCATATCATTATCGTATTTCCTTACAAATCCGACCTACTTACACGAATGTGTTTATTTATGTTTCACCGAGAATTAAGATGACCCATATACTATGGCTGTGTCCAAAATAAATTCAACTGCGGGCTATTTAAAGATGCACAGTTTTCCTTTTCGGCAACTAATAAGCCGGTGAGGCATTCTTCACACCTACATACACCTCTACGCACCTCACTAGACACACACACACACACAGTCACTCACACAAACATACATGCATATATGTATATGTACCTAATATCTCTCCAAAGAGGCGCATGGCAATTCGGAACTGCCCTAAACTGAAGTCTTGCACGTTGGATATTCTATTAATAGCTGTCGCCGTCGCCAACAATAAATGAGCGAACAGCGAGAACTTGGGAATACCTTGAATATTGCTGTTATTGCTGTTTTTGTTGTTGTTGTTGTTTCTCTTGCTCAATTAAAGAAAGAAAAGCGAAAGCGCCTCAGCATTTTCACCAAATTTAGACAATCTATCAAATTTCGTAGCTAGCCGGCAGCGACAGTTCGGAAATGCAACAAGCAAGTTTTTGAATCATAAGTTCTAAGGAATTCAAATACTCGTACATACCTTGTTAACTGTATATGTACGTATATATGATATAAAGGTGTAAAGCTTCGTCCTTCCTACTGGTTTAAGCAGTACGGAAAAATCCTATTTTAGTCGCTCATTTATACTAATTGAAATTATAATTAAACCCTGCCCTACACGAATTTTACAGTAAAATACTTTTAATCCTTTCCCTTGTAGGAGGTCTCTTTTGATTTGAACACATTTCGGTTGCAATCACTTATTGAGTAGAAATAGAAAACAAATTAAATGAAGACGTGCATATTTTTAGGATGTTTTTGACGATTTCCTGTCTAGAGCCGCCTTTTGGAAAAATTCAAAAATCTCAATAAATAATTGATGAATTTTGTTCTCCAATCAGTTGTGATTTCTTTTTATTTCAGACATAATGTTATTTACTTGTATATATTTATTTATATTTATCAATCAGGTGGTTGAGTATCGTAAAATGAATCTTTCACATTTAAAAAAAGAGATCAATAAAGTCGTGCCAAATCGAATCTTAGACACCCTTTACTATGACAGCTATGTTATATCCACTCTACTGGTAAATATCTTAATAAACAAAGAAAATAAAAAGCAAAAAAAAAGATAATAAAAATAGTGAGCTGATTTTTGAGAAACTTTGGAATATCATGGAGTGGAGTATGGCTTTTATCTACCGAGTCATTTTTTTCAACAAACTAATGCAGAAGCCTCTTATTGGACAATTAATTATTAAGGGAGCATTAAGTAGTTGTTAGTTATATCAATTATTTATGATTATTGCTATTTACAAATTATAAAATTAAAAATCAAGTGATTATATTGATTGTACGAATGAAAGTGCTTTTAATCGAATTTTTAGATTGAGGAAGCAAGGTATACCCATTCGAGAGATATTACGATTATATTGAGAGGAGAAATGGCAAAATAAACAATAGCAACAACCACCTTATGAATGAAACGTGGTCTGTGACAGAGAAATACTTTTCATCTTTCGACTTTTATTTGTATTTGAGTTCTCTATTTATTTATTTCTTTTTTGCCGTGTCTTGTGCTGCGCTGATTGCGTTGATTTTTATGGGCGGCGATGGCAGCGGCAACAAGTTGAATTTTTCTAAAATTGAAAACACGAAATATCTTCGTCTTTGGCGTTAAATGCGGCCACAGGCACGACAACGACCATCAGCAGCAACGCATCCCAATCTTTAGAGAGAGATCGAGAGGCAGCGGCGGCGGCGGCGGCGGCGGCGGCGGCGGCGGTTAGAATTTGATTTGATTTTTCATCTGATGTTTTGTGCTCTGATGGCTATTTTTCCCCTCTATTGTGTGTGCGCTCTCCGGCAGCGACGATCCATCTAAGGAGCATATTTTCAAAAAAAGAAAATATATAATGCGATGAAATAAGAAATAAACGCTGCTTGTCGTGACTTTCACACACAACTAGTTGCGTTTTGGATGTCAACACGATGTACACGCGGGCGCGCACTTCGGCAACGGGGCGTATACGTATATAGACGCGAAGGGGGCGTGTCGGGCTGTAAGTGTAACGAAACGAGACTTGAAGGCCGCTATAAATCGTACAATTCACGATAGTGGTGGAATAAATCCGCAAATATAAATCGAGGTAAAAATTGCGCCAGAAAGAAGCAGCACATATCATATAAAAAAGGTTTCTTCAATTATCGTCTCAGTTGTATTTCGAAGATTCGAATTGTCGAGTACAATTGGCTAAAACCTTTTATGGTCATTTTCTAGCCAAAGGGAGTCGAATTTCATGCACAAAATCGGCAACAGCAGCAACGAGGCTGAGGCCCACGAGTAAAATGCGTTCTGTTTGCCGCTCTTTAATTGCCATGTGTGTGTGTGTGTGTGTGTGCTTATGTATTTGTTGTATCTCTTGGCAGCTCATACAAAATTTAAATAGAATCCGAATCCCCGTGTCGGGAGCAATGAAAATCTCTGCCGGCGTGCGTCCGGCACTAACCGAAATATATTCATATACTTGTATATTCAAATGTTCTTATACTTATAACCGCCTTGGTGGTGACATATTTCAGATAATAACAAAAACATGCGCAAATTTTTATTATATCTCTATATGTCGGCAATAATTCATATTAATACTATTTATAGTGCAATCGTGAGCTTAAAAATTTCGCTTTCAATTCGAGTTGTTCGCACCTAAATGAAATCTTTTCTGTCTTGCTACAACTTTTTAAAACTATATCTTGATTTTGTTTTTTATTTTTTTGGTGCTAATACAAAGTTCAACCAACCAAGGCAAATTTTAATTTACCAATTCATTTATTTATAATAATACAAAATACAAACTTATAAATAAAATTTTAAAAAATTGCACGCACGTGGTTTCTGATTTTCACATGTGAGCTTTTTTTTTCATTTCAAAATATCTTATCAATGAAAAATATTTAATAATAATAAAAACAATAATCATTTATTAAAAGGTTTCGTTTCGTTGTTATGATTAGAATGCACTAGTACTTTCAATCGAAATATTGATAAGGACACAAACTAAATTTATAACCCAGCTTGAGAAAAATTTATTTTTTCGATTCTGTAAAATTTAATAAATAACAAATATTCAAACATTCTCAATAAAATACAAGTTTTTACTTCCTACAATTACTCTCACATCGTCAAAAAAAACAAAGCTTCAGCACAAGATTGGCATATAATTTGTTTAAAAGCCCACTGGCGATTGTAACAATAATTATTTTGTAAATATTTGGAATATAAAATGCTTATAAATAAAAAAAATTTCTCTTATTTGTATCATATTTTTAAGAGTGCTTAGAACTTAATAATCCCATTTGGTTCCATTTTTCAAATCCAATTCAATTGTGCGAAATCGAACTTAGTTAAAATTTCTTCATCCAAGGTGGATTTAAAAAAAAACTTAACCGTTTTTTGGCATTACAAATTGTTGATAGTTAACTTATTTCGATTCGAAATAACTTGTCCATAGGAACATTTCATTTTTTCGTCGGCATTTCATGCATAGTTCTAAAATTGGAATTCACGGAATTTAGAAGCACGTTGTTTTGAATTTAATTTAAATGGCCGGTAAAGAATTTGTTTTTTTCTTTGATTGTTGTATGTGAAACGGGACAGAGCTTTGTTTTGGGAAATATAATTTTAATGCTTTTGCTGAGAAAACAACTGTAATTACTGTATTAATATTAAAATACAAAAAGGTGGAAGGAGAAAACACGATCGATTTATACTATAAATGAATTTTATAGCGTTACTATTTTCAAAAACAAACATTCAAATTGATTTATTTGAGAGAATTTTTAAGTAGAAGAAGAATCTACCTATGATTTATTGTAACGATCCTAATAGAACTTCACTTCACACTTTTTAATACTCCTAGATACCAGAATTAATTAAGTTATCTTTATAAAAGTAAAAGATATTAATATTAATAATATTAATATTAATAGTGACTTTCAACCGATAATAATTAATAACATAAGTATATATTAGTAGGGTCTGGCAAGCCAACTTCACAAATTTTTGAAGTGCATGATTTCCAAGTTTCGTTGCAATAATTAAATCATTTGTTTAATTTAATAACATACCAAAATTGTATAAAAAACAAATTGTATGTTTCAATGAAAACAAATTAATATAGCTTTACAGATTGACAATCGTAATATACCATTTAATTAGCACTTACTATATTGAGAAATATTGATATTTAATTAAAAAAATATATGTATTTATTAACGAAAAACAATTGGTTTTTTTTTAATTTCAGTAAGAAGCATGCAAGAGCTAACTCGCGAGCTGAGCGCCGCCTACAACGTTTGCGAGCACCACAACGACAACAAAAACCACAAAAACAACCAATTGGAAATGAGCCCCAATACAGCAATTAGCAAGAACACCAATCTGGAGCAGCAGAGCGGCCTGGCAGCCGCGTTTCTACTGCCAGCGAGCTGCATTAAACGTGAGAATCCTCACACTCCCGAACTACTGCCCGTTTGGCAATCGAGCGCGTCACCTGATCCCACGCATCTGCGTCTGGACTTCAATGCGAACAGTAAACTGTTGCTGCAAGGATCCGATGATCCGCTCATCTCGCATGGCGATGCCCACGACGAGGATCATCCGTTCAAGACGCTGCTGGCCCGCAAGTCCCAGGAGCAGCGTGTCGCAAACAATGGAGCCTGCAGCTCACTTACCAAGCAGCAGCTGAAGGTCAAGGCCAGTCTGATGAGCGCTCGCAAGACCGGGCATAGGCAGGCGACCCATGCTGTGCGGCCAGCACAGCCGTCAGAGATGGCCGCGCCAGCAGAGAAGCTGCCACCGAAGACTAAGAAGCGCCAATCGTCTGCTGGCGCTCTAAAGCTGCGCTTCCATCACCAGGCCCTGCCCGCCGAGTACCTCAGTCATTATGAGGCCGCGCAGGCGCGCCAGCTACCAGCCAAGGCGCCCCAACCAAATGCCAAGCCCGCACCCGCCAAACAGTCCCACGAGAATGTGCGCAGCTGGCTACGAAAAATCGCAGAAATTCAACGGAGCGCCGAGCGACAGCAGCAGGCCCAGGACTCGACATTAACGCCAGGGAACGCGGCCCCGACGCCCCAAATAGAATTACAGACTGCTAGCCCCGCTGCGGCCCCCCTCGTTAGCAAACGCAATCCACTTAAGTATGCGGACCTGCCGTATATGGGGGAAATAACGCTCGACAATTACAAGCCGCGACGCGGTCGCAAACCCAAAAAGGCGGACATATGCCACTTGATTTACAAGAACTATGGCACAATTGTCCCGCCCACGATAACTGTAGGTACCTCGGTTGCCAGCACGTCAAACTCCTCCGGCTTGTCCGCCCAGAAACTGCCCGTCCTGGCTGTCGAGGAGGAGCCCTTGAATCTGTGCCTGCGGGATCAGTCCAGTGATCGGTATTCCATATCCAGTGGTAGCGATAGCGAGAAACCCTCCACCACGGATTGTGGCAGCTGCATCACGCCTCTCACACTGCAACTAACGGCGACAACGCCGGACACACCTCTCGATCCAGAACCACCCAGTTCTGCCAAGTTGCTGCTACAGCCGGTGGGCGTTTATTACCAGCAACTGATGGAGTCCTGCGCCTTTGGCCTGCCTGTGCCCGTCGAAACTATTGAAAAAGACAACCAGCTGGCGCTTAAAATACCCATACCTAGCGGCTTCTTTGCCAATGTGAAGCCGTTAGTGGAAACCCCACCGCCTAAGCGCAAGCGCTCAGCTATATTTATACCGCCGATGCCCGCGGAACACTCCTCGAGTCCCTCGAACGAGGTTAGCATATGCAAGTTCAAGTTCACGGGCGGTGCGAAGCCGACGCTGCTCGAGAAGAAGATGTTGTCAGTGGATGCGGAGGGCAATTATCGTTACTACAATGGCACGGGCGACAAGACTATGCGCGGCTATGAGTTCATTTCTCGAGATCAACAGCAGCAGCAGCAGCAGCAGCAGCAACAGTTGTTGCAGCAACAGCAACAAGAACAGCCGAATGCTGGGAGCCAAGACAAACTGTATATTGATATACCACCACCATCAACGGATCTCAGCTTGGAGCTGCTCCACATACCGCCCGAGTCTCCCACCACATCGCTGCTCATCTCAAATAATTTGATTTCGCCTCAGAGTCCAGCCTCCAGTTCGCAGAGTCCAATGCCCGCTCAAACCCAATCCGAGCCGCTGCCATTGGTTAGCAGTAGCAGCAGCAGCGGCAACAACAACAACAACAAGAACCACAATAGCCACAACAACCACAGCAGCAGTTGCGGCAAACGCCGCTGCTCCCGCCGCTCGAAGCAGCGCGAGAAACTGGAAAAGACATTCAAGGAGAAGGGCTTCCTCATCCAAACCCAACAACTGCAATCCGCCGAGGGCGCAACGTACTGCAAGTTTAGACAATTAAAAAAGTTCACACGTTATCTATTTCGGAACTGGAAGGATCATATACCGCCTAGCGATTTGGCCAAGCATCAGAGCAGCGCAGCTGGTGGCGCCATCGAGAACTTACTGGCTGGCCAAAAGAGTGCAGAGAGCGTCTCTAGTGCTGCCGCCACAGATCCGGCCACATAGCTTTCAAATAATTCAATTCAAACCCATCAGTTGGAAGTATACCCGGACGGATCCTTAACGTTTTAATATAAATTAATGTCCGTAAAGCAATTTAAAAATGTTAAGTCATTTAGGGACGTTACGGAAAATACCCCTGATTGTGGTTTTGCAAAATCTAAACAACAAAGCACTGCCAAAGAATTTCTAGTTAATAAGCAAATGGTTGCCATTCAAAATACACAAGAACATTATCCTAGACATGAGGAGCAAGAGGAGAGAATATCGTTTTAATTCCGTCCATGCTGGCTGCCATACGTCAATGGTCAATGGCCACGCTAGTCGTTCTAGTCGTTCAGCAATTTAAGTACCTAACGGAAATTATTGTGAATAAACTTTATATAATTAACAAAAAATAATATATGTTCCTATTGTTTTGATATTTATTCAAAGAGATGCATTTATTTAACGACAAGTGGAACTTTCTTCAACAAGATATATTATTGAATGTTTAATAGACTTTTCCGAAACGCGAGCAAACATGATGAAAAGCAGTCTATTGAAATCGACATTCACATTTTTATTTTTAATGGAAGCTATAATAAATATCATTGGTGCATAGGAAGCTATTCAAAAAATAGAGCGATATAAAGTGCTTAATATAATACTATATATCCGATATTACTATCATGGGTTATTAAATCGCAGCTGCCATGGAGGCTATTCTGAGTGAGAAAGGAGCGTATCAAGTCTCCCCCGATATTCTGTGGTCGATTCCATCATTCATTCATATCTGAGCTCATCAGCATAACCTTTACAGATCGGTCGCGCTTCCGATTCTCCGGACATAATTTTCACCCTATTGTTGACATTTATGTTTTGCTTTTCAAGACCGAATACTTCAATGCCTACAGACAGGGTAGGCAGCTGTAGAGGAGTATTGTTGTATCGGTTGGACTTCTAGAGTTCCGAGTGGTCAGTGACAGTTCCGAGACGTTAGCCCAGTTGGCGGGAGAAGTGAATATTCCTACTACTGAGATGGGGGGAGGGCTACTGAACATCTGGCTGTCAACCTTTTTTTTACATTTTCAAAATGTATCCCAGAAATGCATAGAAACCTTGAAAATATAAACTAAATAATCGCAATAAAAACAAATTGTGCAACCGATCCAATCCTTTAAAGAAACATCGACGAAACAGCTATGTTTTAACTAAATCGTGTTAATCCGTGTGAATACAACACTTACCTCTTCAAAAACTGAACTTAGCACACGATATCTACAAAAACAGTTCGCAACAATGAAATAAAAATACGAATTTTTTTTATGAAAAACAATTTCATTACGATATATGTAGTATCATGAACAGGTGTATATTAAATACGCTTCTAAAGTCATACGTTTTGTTATATATAAGGCGCAATATTCATAGCTTTCAAAAATAGATGTTAATACATTTAAGTGTTAGTACAAAAAAATCAAATTCAAAATTAGCCATTAGCTTTCGAATTGCTCGACAAGATAAGGGGTGTTATTGTTGTTATCTTGCAAATGCTTTTGCAAATGCTTCAGTTCTCATTAATATTTTAATTATTAATTTAGCTTTGGAAGACGCTATGTGTGCTTCATGTCGCTAATTGTACCAAATTTAATAAATTTGATATTGGGTTTACATTTTTTTTTAAAAAAAGGTATGTTGAAGTACAAGTATGTTTTCGAAAGTCACATAAAAAAGAAAACTTTCGACCTTAATAGACAATTTGTTTATATGTATGTTGCAAACAAAAATTTGCATTTCATTTAGTTGAAGTTTGGTTTAGATATAAATTCTTGGTTGATATTGTCAGCACTGTTGGTTTGGTTGATTGTTTGTTTGTTTGTTTGCTTGCTTCGTATTGGGGGCAGTTCACTTGGTTCTTCCACTTAAAACTAATTCAACAATATTTTTGGTGTTCAGTCTCTCTGAATACCTTCATTGAAATTGGCTCAATGCGAAGCGATCTTAGTTAGCGCTTTGCACCGATTTGTTGGAGCTTATCGAGTCCTCGTGTTCGCCGACTGGGGTCGGGCCAACAGCCCCCGTATTCATGGGACACACATATTCCGTCCAGTCTACTTCATTTTGGCCCTTCGTGCTCTTTCGCCTCTTCAGAGTGAATTGTGCGCGCTTTGGCGGCTTTAGTTTTGCTGCAATCGTTAATGGTTGGTAGCCTGGTTCGGCCTCAGCGTCACGCTTGCCATGTATAATGGTGCGTCCAACGAGCTCCTTAAAATGCGTGGCCAGATGGCGTCGCAGCAACGATTTGCTTGGCGGTATGGACAGCAGGTCGGCCAACAAATTGGCATTAAAGCGCGGCTCGTATAGCATTAATGCGCCATGAACGCCTGCCCCCCGCAAATTGGGGGCATATTCCGAGAGGTCCACAACACGCAACCACTCCATGACACGATGTGCCGTCCAAAGTTCCACGCTGTCACTGTCTTTGCTATCATCTTCATCGTTACTATCGTTCAATATCTCTTTCGTTGAGCGTCGAATTAGGCTTTCAGCATTCCAATTCATACGACGCATACACTGAATGCCACAGCGTAATGATGCGATGTGCAGACATGAGCTCACTTGCAGCTGCGTCAAGTCCTCCAGCGTCAAACGATGCAGCATCCGTCCATCCACCTTGGCCTGCAGAAAATGATCCTTGTACTGGGGAAGACCGATGTCATCCAACCAACGCAGCACCCAGCCCACATCCAGGTTGGCGGCCTTTATTGTGAGCTCATCGAACTCCTTGCCTGTGATGTCGTCAATCGCCAGCTTAATTTTCTTTCGATGCAGCGGCAACTTAAGATGAAGTTCGCGCTCAATATCAACGGGTGATGATGAGAAAAACGAAACCGTGGGATTAGCCTTAAGCCACTTTCTGCAAATTTAAAGCTATATTAACAAAGTACACCCCCATGAAGGACCAAACTAATAAACATGAAAGTTGTGAAGTTTTTCAGGTCAGATCAATCGAAGCCTTAAACTAGATTGTGTTTTACGCTTTTTAAAAATGCTTATATCAAATAAAATATCTTTCCGGGTTGTGTTGAATAAATAAGAAAGTTAAGGAATCTGAAAATTCCCAAACTATACATTCCCTAATTAACATAGATATGAGAATAATAATAAATGCGACAAGGGGTATAAGTGGAGTGTTAAAATATCAAATGTTTAGGGTTCTATTGAATAAAGAATCGCTACGAGTAGATATCTGTATAAACTTTTCAAACCCCGAGCGGCGCTTTTTATTGAAAGTTAATCTTTAAGTTCATTTTATTGTCGACTAACCATATTGAAAGATATATGTATGTATATGCACATAATTAAATAAAGAAGATAATAACTCACCGACAATTCTCTTCGTAGCATCCCAAACCCATATGAGACAACCAGTTGCACAGATATATGTATGTATATGCACATAATTAAATAAAGAAGATAATAACTCACCGACAATTCTCTTCGTAGCATCCCAAACCCATATAAGACAACCAGTTGCACACTTCTTGGGCATCCCAGGTGCTGTAGTGCTTACTAGCATCGCTAAACAATGGCGTCTGTGCGCTCCACTCGATGCGTCCGCCTGTAGTGGCGCGGGAACCTCCACGACGAAATTCCGGCTCCGCTTGTTCCAAAGCAGTCAATTCACAACTACTGCTATTGCTTCGACGTAAAAAGTTATCCAAAAAACGAAAACCTAGGATAGGACGCAATTTGGGTGAGGGCGTGGATTGCGTCTGTGATATAAAACTGGAGTACATAGCATCCTCGTTCTGCGCTGTACTGTCACCCAGAGGGATTAATATTTGTTCGTTTGATGCAAACGCTACATTGCGCTGCATTCCACTACTATTAGCATTCACATCCAAGGCGCGATTATTGTGGTTGTGCAGATCGCCTGACTGTCGCAGCGCCTGCTTGCCCGCGGCGCCATGTGAGCGTGGCAAGCTATGAAATCGTGGCTTTATCTGATGCCGGAGCGCCGAGGGCGGTGTTTTCGGAACCATTGCGCACACGAAAGCCTTCTGATTGATGTTGCCCATGCTACCATAAGGAATGCCGCCACCGTCGTTGGCATGCAATTCATTTTCACGCTCCAGTGCTGTGCGATGCAGCTTTAGTTCGCTTAAGGCACTCATAAGCTCGAGTTTTTGAGTTTCTAGCGCAGATTTGGATATCATTTGGCGCTGCAATTGCTCATCCTTGCTGCATAGCTGCTGCGTCTTCTCTGTTAGAAGGCCCTCCAGCTCAACTATTTTATCCGCTTGCTCGGACAAGCGCTCCACCACCATTTGATATTGCAGCGCCAGCCCCTCCTTGTCTCGTTGCAAGCGCCGCATACGCTCGTCAGAATCTTGACGCGGTATGTGAGTCTCCAGCCAGTCGCTAATAATGGCCGCAGTGACTGGATCCGGTGCTGGGGCAGCCAATCCCACCTAACGCACATTACACGACAGCAAGTTGTTATGGTAACGACATTCTATGGTTACGGCTGACTCACCTGTTGCAGCGCCAATGCCAGCGTTTTCGCGGTCGAAAGAACATTTGTGGCGGAAATCAGGTTCCGCTCGTTAAGCGTTAAAGAAGCACCAGGTTGGTGGCCAGCACTGGTTGCTGCCGTGCTCGATATTATCCCGTCCATTTGTTGTAAAGCTGCCTCAAGCATTTTGCTAGCTTCGGTCGATGCCATTGGCGTTGCGCGAGCGGATTAATCTTAATTCCAGTAAATGTTTTTTTAATGCCTAGGCGTGATTGATGGCGGCTGCTTTGTCAGTTACTTTTTCCTCACACTTTTCACGATATAGCACGTGTCTGCCGTATTCTAAGCTATGTGCACATTATAAAAATTAATAGCAGTACTGCTATATTTTGTTCATAGAAAATTAAACAATTAATTTATAAATAAATGTGCAACAAATGAAAACTTTGGCACCCAAGCGTTGCCAATTGTGTACGTTATCCATAACGCTGCCACCCAGTGCAACGATAACTCTAACCCGTGTATGGAATATCGACATATGTTCCACCTCTAATGAAAACCAAAACAAACCTTGCTATTTCGTTTTGAGAATTATTAATTGTTGATCCAGAGCTGCAATGAATCGTTTTGCATATGTCGAGGCGCGTCTTCATGAAAACGAAACGTTCGTCAGTCGCGATCGCAATGTCAAAATCTACGATGGGGACCAAAAGGTGGGCACATACTGTGTTCGGATGAGCTCATCACAAATTGCTGGCAATCCGCATACATAATATATTTTGTATATAAACACATTTTCAATTGCTTTTTCACTGTGCCAGACGGAGTTCGAGGAGGGCGAGATTGTGTTGACCACACATCGCTTGTTTTGGGGGCGTCCTGGCGAAATTGCTCGCGCCGCCATCACACTCTGCCTGCCACTCAGCTATGTGATATCGCTCAGCGAAGAAACTGCCAGTTCCAACTTCTTTGGCCGCAAAACTCGCATCATAATGCATTTGCGTCCGCCTCTGCCTGATAAAGCGCCTGGTCCACTGGAGTCCAGCCGTGCCACCCACATTAAACTTTCTGGAAAGAATGGCATGAGCGTTGAGTTTCACAGCGCACTTCGCGAGACTATAAATGCTCGCATCTGGGAAATATCATTGGTCAGCGAGACCATCATTAATGGGGCAAACACTGGTACAACATCGCCAATGTCCGACAGCAACGATAGGTTGGCGCGTATACAAAAACGGACCGGCATTGGCGGCATAGAGCGCTCGATTGAAGCGAAGGCCAGGGAAACGGACGAAAATATTGCCCTGGCATTTCAGGATCTCAGCGTGCTAATGGCCATGGCCAAAGATATGGTGGGCCTGTCTAAAACCATCAGTAACAAAATACGTGAACAAAAGGGCGAAATATCCGACGACGAAACAGTGCGCTTTAAATCCTATTTACTAAGCCTAGGCATTGACGATCCTGTAACTCGTGATAACTTTAGCAGCAACACCGCATACTTCAACAGCTTGGCACAACAAATATGTGAGATGTTGCTCGATCCAATTGAGGTGAGTGAATGCATTTCTGAAAGTGAAGTGGAGTAATAAAGCTTTATGTTGTAGGAACACGGCGGCATGATGTCCCTTGCCGATGTCTATTGTCGCGTGAATCGCGCTCGTGGTCTTGAATTGCTTTCGCCGGAGGACTTGTTGCACGCGTGTGAGCAGTTAAATGGTCCCATACGGTTGCGTAGCTTTCCTAGCGGCGCCAGAGTTTTGCAGCTAGAGTCCCACGACGATGCACTGATAGCAGTGGACACGCTGGAAAAGGTCCAAGCAGCTGAGTCTTTAGCCGTGGAAGAGCTAGCCAAGCAATTGGGGATATCGCTGCTGCTGGCCAAAGAAAGATTGCTGGTGGCCGAACGCCTGGGCAAGGTGTGTCGCGATGAGTCCGTGGAGGGCTTGCGATTTTATGCAAATTTGTTGCTCCAACGGGCAATGGACTAACTATGTGAATATTTAAAATAGTATTTGTAAAGCTTTTTATCACCTTGTCATAGTTTCACGATTTAATAAAAACCGAAAGTTATGCTTTATTGCGTTGGCATAGCTTATCGCTTAAATAGCAACAGGAATTTTAAGTCTCTCTTTCTTTCTTTCGGAATATTGAAAGAAAGAATTCCGTTTCTATGCTTTTACAAAGTAGCAGAAATAATTTGCGTTCCTGGAAAGTGGATTAAAAAGAATTTATGAAATTATAATAAATGTGCTCTTCATTCCCAAAACAGAAACATCTAATGGCAATTTAATTATTATTGAACAAAAGATTATCAATTTCGATGCTTTTCCAAAATTGAAATGATCTATAAATGAAATAGTCGAATAACTAAGGCAGTACCTGAAAACTGGAATGTTTTCGACTGGGGTTTTAAAAGAATTTTTGCAATTGTAATAATTATGTTTTAATCAATCACCTAAAACAATTATGAATGATGAATTATAAAAAATAATAGAGAATTTAAAACTTTAAAGTAAGGGGACAATGACAAACAAACACGTAAACAATAGTCGTTGAAATAGTTATAGTGAGAAAACTATGGCTTTTGAGAATTCGAAAAAGTAGCTAAAGTCTTTCCATTTTATCATTTAATTTCACACATTTATTAATTAACGGAGCTTTACGCTGACTTTGTCGGCGCATCATTTTCAGTTTTCTCGAAATGTTTTTCTTTGTTTACCTTTAAACTTAATCAGTTTTTTGTTTACGTTTCTTTTGTTTTTTGTTTAATGAAAAGTTTCTACAGTCAGGTATTTTGATAAGCAGTTATTGAATGAAATTACATTAATACACAATTATATTAATTTATATGTTATATATATATATATGTATATATATGTTTATATAAATAGCTTGCGCTGCTGCTGCTGCTGCTGCTTAGATTGCTCCGCATTACATCTAATAATGCATATTGTTGTCATTACAATTATTATTTTTTATTTTGTATTTTCCCGACCACATACATTTTGATGTACTCAGGATTTTCGGTTCTTTCTTTTTTTTTTTTTTTGTTTTGTTTTTGGCGGTTTCCAAGCAGTGGCTGGCACCAGTTCGCTATTGAGTATCGGTAATATCGCGTGGCTCCCTATATACTCGTCTGTACATATTTCATGCCTTTGTCCACAATTACAGCGTATCTTTTATCTTTAGTTAGTACCATGTTTCTCTTGCTTAAATCACATTTATTATTTTATAATATTAACATTGAGTAAATTATTCTGGAGTTTATTTTATTTTCTTGCCACATTTTTTTCTTAATGTATAATGTAGTTTTGTTTTATCATTTTCGTTTTTTATTTTTCAATTTATTGTATTTAGTTTTGAAGCTTTAAACATACAGCGCAGAAGCAAAAATCGCTAAACAATTACATCAAAAAATTGGTTAACATAATTAAAATCGTCGCTTAAATAAATAATTTCATGCTACAAGAAAACTGGCTTAGTTTGAAAAAACATATTGGTTTAGTCATAGCTTCACCATCTTTTTGTAGATGTATGTTGAACTTTAGCTCGCCCCTAACTCTCATTGTACATTGCGCTATTACAAATAAATTAGTTAAATAAGTTGGTAATATATATGTATTTCTAAATATATATATATATGATTAATTGTTGACTTTTGTGTGTGTTTTTTGTTTCGTAATTTTCACAATTTCTATGCATATGCACTAACAATAAAACGTTTCCCTTTTTTTGCATTTTTTATTTTTCTTTTAGCAATTATTCAATTGGAAGTACAAGTACTAAATTGGTTACAAATAAAAAATTGGTTGAGGCTACGACTTTTTGTTGCATTACGAACTAAAAAAAATTTGTTTTGTTTGTTTGTTTTAAAATTAGGTTAGGCGATTGTTTAAATAATTACATATTCTATTAATAATTTTACAATTGTATATGCATAATATTTATAATAATTATTAAACGATTAATATGTATAATAATATGAATATGAATCCTCATATCAATTACATTTATTCTTGTTTCTTTTACTTTTGTAACTAGATGTAATAAGCAATTTGTGTTTACATATAATTTACGTTTTTTTTTTTGTTGTTTTTTGTTTGTTTTTCTTTTCTCTCAATATTGCTTTTAATATTTGTTTTTTTTTTCACTTTTTAGCTTACTATTAGCACGCTTATCCACTACGTTTAAAATATAACAAAATTGAAAGTTAGTTTAGAGCCGAAATCTTTTTATCGCAAATATGAAACAATTGTTTTGTTTGTTTACAACTAGATAAATAGTTAATTTTATAATTAAGAGCTATAGGCCTAATTCGTTTGCAGTAGAAAAAATTTAAAAATTGAGTTAAGAGGGGAAACACAAGCGCTGCCGCCAAGTGGGCCATGGTGGTACTTAGTATGGAGTGGGTCGAGGGCTCTGCTCAGCTAAGGTATTGGATTGGCAAGTCGAAGATGCCTTTCAATTTGCGATTGTAAAGTGTCTCTGGCCAGCTACACTTGTTGCATTAGATGCGCGGCTTTATTGTTGGGCTTGCCACAAGCACAAGCAAGCCCCTACACTTAGACTTACAACTATACACACCAAAATAGATATATGTATTTGTATATGAATATATATGTATGTATGCATATATAGGTATACAATGTACGGGTAGTATGTGCTATGTAAGTGTTGATCATAAACTATAATATCATGCAAATACTCACACAATGTAGCCTTATACAATTCTTCTTTTTTTAACAAAAATAAATAGAACGCCAGTTGGCGGTTTTCACATACTTATTAAGTTATTACATGCATGAAAACGCGGGCAGGGGAAGGAGGCGTGGGAGGAGAGAGGAAATCGCGACTTTGCTTTAAAGGGGCGGCCGCTATTAACATTAAGTCTAACAATAATGTGGGTATTTGTGTGTGTATGATTGCTGGACAACTAGGCGTTTGTGTAGCAAGAAGTAAATTTTAGTTTTGATCGCGCCAGGACTGGCAAAGCCATCTCAGAAACATCATCTACTTGCTGGCATCTGTGGTGGAGCGCCTTCGATTCACAGCTGCCTGTTGTTGTTGTTGCTGCTGCTGCTGCTGTTGTTGTTGTTGTTGTTGTTGCTGCTGCTGTAGTTGTTGTTTGACCGCCGCAAGCGCTGTCATAGTGCGCTGACTAATTAGGCTCGTTGAGGTTGAGCGTCCGGCAATCTGTATGTTCTGCAACTGTTGCTGCTGCTGTTGTTGTTGCTGTTGTTGATTGGGTAACGTTTGCGAGGCGGCCGTTGCTGTTGCTTGCTGCGATTGCTGATTGAGGATGCGATGTTGTTGCTGCTGCTGTGGTTGTTGCTGCTGCTGGGCTGGCGCTTTGAGCGTTTTCAGCTGCAACTTTTGTGCAGACATGACAATGGGAGTGCCACTCAAATTTCCGGCATTAGCTGAGGCAAAAGAAGGATTTCAAATTAGAAAAAACTGTCTATTATGTGACATTAACATGTATTCCACATCTTTCTTTTCAAACCGAATTCCAATCCAATTGAATATTGTTTTATTTCCCTTCATAAAAAAAAACAACAAAGTCTTGGGACTACGACTGATTTCTGCACCGATCGCTTCTACGGAACTATACGATAGATTCATCCGATTATGTAAATACTTTAAAAACGTATAAATACAAAATCTGCTTAAAATATCTTAATAAACAAAAGAGTTATCTATTTATGTACCGATCGTTCCTATGGCAGTTATACACAATAACAGGGCTATATATAATTTGACATAATCTTGCTCTGTGTATAGATAAAAACACGTTTCTTACCACGTTTCTTTCTGTCTGTAATATAGCTTTGGTTTATCTTGTATAGGGTATACAATGGATTACGACAACAAGTAAAAACTGTCGAAATAACATTATATTTATGATATATTCTGACAAAACCTTTATACGTATAAATATTTTTATGGTTATTCTCCAAATAATAGGTTTCTTTATTGTTGCGGAAATAAAGTAAAAGTTCGAAAAGCTAGAACCAAACTGGAACGTAGATTTATTCCAAGCGATTTGGATAAAACCATTCAAATAATAATAATTTTTTAAATATCCTTTTACCGAAACACATAAATTTTGTGCGATTTACGCTATTTCACTTGGAAAGACGAACGACTTAAATATTCCACATTTCGTGGATTTCGTGATTCTCTTCTATGTTATAGAACATGATATAACCTATAGCTTAATAATTTTCTAAATATCCTTTTACCGAAATACATAAATTTTGTGCGATTTACGGTATTTCACTTGGAAAAGACGAACGTCTTAAATAGCTAGCTTAAATTTCGATTTAATGCTGCTTACCATTACCCGGTGTTGTTGCAATCTTCAGTGTCGAGGCGCCGATTTGTCTTTGCGCAGTCAGCAGCTGGCGATTGGTGGCCAATTGCTTGGCACCCACTACTTGGATGTTTCGGGCCCGTGGCTGAATTGTGCCCACCAGATGGATTGCTGCCGCGGTGGTGCTGTTGGGTTGCTGTTGTTGTTGCTGCTGCTGCTGCGCCTGGGTCTGCTGCTGTTGTTGTTGTTGCTGCTGCTGCTGTTGCTGCAGGGTTGCAACACCTACACCACCACCAACAACACCGGCCACACCGGCAACACTTGAGGTACGTATTGTTTGAGAATTGAGTTTTTGTACACCGGCACCAACAATTTGAGCTGTAAGCAGAGAGCAGAACGGGTGTGCGGGGAGAGTTGTTTGGTTGTTGTTGTTTTAGGTTACAATGAATTGATTGTTGATTGTTCGTTTTAAAAGGTTCATTTTTTTAAAGGGCTGCTACACAAACACACCAGGCGGTGACTAAATTAATTAATTTTGAGTGGAGGAGATTCGGAGCATGAACAACAAATGAGCATACAAAAAAAAAATAAAAGAAATTATAGTATATGTACACACAAATGACAAATGGATGCGATTTAATTCACACTGATGTTGTTGTTTTAATTGTTGTGAATAGAAGTGTTAAGTACAAAACACATAATTCGATTTTGGGAGCATGATTTCGAGTAGTGGATATTGTCGTTGTTGTTTTTGTTGTTGTTCGAAACGAGTTGTTAGGGACAAATGTGTGGATTGTTGTTTGTAAAAACGAAAAACAGAAGAAACAGAAGAAGAACAAAAATTAGAATGTTCAATGTGCAGAAAAATATGTTAAATGGAAGTACATAAGTAATAGTAGATTCGTATAAATAAATTAATAAAACGAAAGTTTACAAATTTATGTTATAAATATAATAATTTAAAAAAAGCCTTACAACAACGAGCGCTATTTTTAAAACTCTCTAGCAGCAGCGACAGGAAATTAATTTTTTTTTCGTGTTTGTTTTTTGTTTGTTCAGATTTAGAAAAATCATACTACATGGTTAGATGCTAGTGTATAGAGGCCAGGGTGGCTGCTATGAATCACAAATTTGTGTCAAGAATGTATTTCCAGAAGCCAATACATAGTTAACTTTCTATTCTATCATTCTGCGAGAATATCTTAATAGATTCTTTAAAAAACTATAGCTAATCAAGATGAAATCAGGTTCAAAATCATTTAAATTTGACGTTGAAAATGTAAGTAAAAGTAATTTGTTTCCTCGCAAAATGTTTTCAGTCCGATTCTTCTGAGTTAGAATAAGTTCGAGTTTTATAAAAAAAATACCGCCTCCATTCCCGGGCATGAATTTGTGTTAAAGCATTGAAATAAGTTAAGGACCGTTAAGAACCTGTCTCTAAATTATTTGAGTGCATTGCAGCCATCCTGTTTATTGGGCGGATTGTCTACAAACTTGTTCACTTACCAATTGGCAATGTGAGCATTGCCGTCCCACTGCCTGTCCCGCTGCCCGCGCCACTGGCGCCCCCAGCATTATTGGTGATGACCACAGTCTGGGTGCCGGCCACTGCAGAGGGTAAGCTGACAATGGTGCCTGTGGTCTGTTGCTGCTGTTGTTGTTGTTGCTGTTGCTGCTGCTGCGGCGCCGATTGGGTTTGCAGCGTTATAGTGTGTGGCAATTGTTGTTGTTGTTGCTGCTGTGCAGAGACTGGCACGGAAACGAGGACACTACGCTGCTGGGTCTGCTGCATGGCATTGTTGGTACCGGTTTGGTTGGCCTGCACCACTGATAGGGTGGTGTTGCCGCTCGTTGTTGCTTGCTGCTGCTGTTGTTGTTGCTGCTGCTGATGCTGTTGCTGCTGGAGACTGTTGCCGGAGAATTGCAGCGACAGGGGCTGGGTGAAGCCTGGTATTTGAACCTGGACATTCTGCAGTCCCGGAAAATTGGCCATGGCGCCTTGGAGCTGCGACAAATTGATACTCTGCAGGTTCAGTGTGGCGGTGGTTTGTTGCTGTTGCGACTGCTGCTGCTGTTGCGGCGATGCCGATGGCTGCGGATGCGGACTAGACATGGGCGAGTGTATGGATGAGGTGGCGGGCGAGTGAACCAAAGTCTTGGTAATAAATTGTTGCGACTGCTGTGCCTGTTGCGGCGACATATGCGGTATAGCCACCGCCGAGACATTCGACGTGACATTGCTGAGTCGCTCGAGCAGCGCTTGATTCTGATGCGCCGTCTGCGATGATTGCGAATGATCCGAGCCGGAAGGTGAGGGCGTGGCTGCATTTGTGAGCAGTGCGCTGAGGCCAGCGTTAGTCGCCGATGAGGAACTAACATTGGTGGGCACAGCAAAGCCGCTGGCATTTGACGCATTAGAATCGCTGCCTGGCGATGGGGCTGCCATGCCCACGACTATGGTATTGGGCGGTGCCACCACTTGAGCTCCACTAGCACCACTGCCAGTGGTGCTGTCGCGTCGCAGTGTGCTCAGTATGCGCTGTTGTTGTTGCTGGCCTGTGTTGAGTATCTTGAGGCTGCTGCAAACGCCGCCCGTGCTGACCGTGTAGGCGCCATAGCTGGTGGTGGGATTTGTCATGACGGCCGGTGGTGATGCCAGTTGTGTGGCTAGCGCTGACATTGAGACACGCACCATGCCATCAGATCCTGCTGCATGTTGCTGTTGTTGTTGCTGCTGTTGTTGCTGCTGCTGTGGCGCTTGGTTTAGATTCACGGCTATCAGATTGCCAGCTGAATTGGTGCGAAAGGTGGTTGCACCACTGGTCCCCACAATGTTGATCTTGCGATTGGTATTCAACAGATTCTGCAACACTTCACTGGACTGCTGTTTGCGCTGTGCACTGACCAATGTGGGCGTGCCACGTGCGGTTTGCACATAAGTCGAGGCATCGGCAGTGGTAGGCGCAAGCTGTGGCTGTTGCTGCTGCTGCTGCTGTTGCGGATTGGTTGCATGCTGCACTAATGTGAGGGTTTGCTGTTGTCCCGTGGTCGTTGTAAAAGTGCCGCTGGCAACTGGCGTGCTCGTCATCGCTGCTGGTGCACTGTTGAGCAGATTTAGTATCGAGGCATTGCCGGAATTTTTGAGCGTTGTAGTTGTTGTAGTATTGCCGATGCCACTGCTGTTATTGTTGCTGTTACTGTTGCTGCTGACAATAGTTGTGGTGTTATTGTTGTTGTTATTGCCAGCAGCAACAGCTGCGCAGTTGTTGTTATTATTGCTGCTACTGTTGTTAGAGGCAGGTGTGTTGTTGGCTGTAAGTTGTAAGTAAAGTATTAAATATTTCTAATATAATATATGTATAATGTAACTTACAGTGTTGTTGCTGTTGTTGATATTGATTCGCGGAATTCATGATGCTGTTAACAATGGCATTGATAGCAGGATTTGAATGCATGGGGGTATTGCTGTTAAGATTGTTGGTGCTATTATTGTTGTTGGTGGCAGTTGTCTGTTGTTTATGCAACAATTGTTGTTGCTGGGTGTTCAATATGGGCGAAGATTTCAATTGCGATTGCTAAAAAGGAACAGAACAAAGCACGCATTTAAAGATAGCTGCATTTAAAGATAGCTAAAGATAGGCAACTCACTAGAATTGGCACATTGGAATTGAGCTGAGCACGTAATGCCGAATTAGCCGCATTCATTTGGGCAATATTCACATTTTGCGCCTTTTGCTGTTGTTGTTGCTGTTGCATATTGGCAGGTTGTATTGTGATTCCTGAATGCTGCAATGCCGTTGCCAACTGCTGCGTCTGCGGCTGTTGCTGTTGCACCAACACCAACGAGCCATTACTCAGGCTCAGCTGATGTGTGGCAGTGGACGAAGTTGTATTATTGCTTGTCAGCTGCTGCAGTTGTATGTGCTGCTGCTGTTGTGGGGCCGCTTGCTGCTGCATGACTAACTGCGGCTGTTGTTGTTGCTGCTGCTGTTGCTGCGGCGTGTGCAACTGCAACGTACCGCTACCATCGAGAGTATATTGCGTTGTTGTAAGTGCTTGGGGTTGCTGTCGAAATGCTTGCTGCAATGTTATTGCATTATTGCCAGCTATGCTCACAGCCTTGCTCATTTGCTGGCGGGCCAGGGTGACGTTGGGATGCGCAACATGATGTACAGTGGCGGACAGTGTGTGCGATTGCTGTTGTTGCGGTAATTGTTGTTGCAACTGTTGCGCCTGTACAGAGAATTGTGTCTGTCGTTGCTGTTGTTGTTGCTGCTGTTGTTGTTGTTGCTGCTGCTGTTGTTGCTGCTGCTGTTGTTGCTGCTGCTGCTGTTGTTGTTGTTGTTGCAGCAACAGTCTCTGTTCGTTAGTGAGCCCTGTATGCGTGACAATTGGCACGTGCCCGGGTATCAAGTGCGTTATCTTGACTGCCTTGCGTCCCTCCTCCGTAAAAATCTCTCGAAATTGTTGTATATAACGATTCGCCTGCACACGCGTGCCGAGTGCAAAGCGACAGGATTCTCCATTGCGCTCCCCCTCGCGATAGTCCCGATCCACATACAACTCGCCCAGATATTCAGCGTCGGAGGGACGCTGATAAATGGATAATTTTATGTGATACAATGCACGTCGGCCCTCGTTCGCCTCGCGTTCGGTCTCCAACACATACTCCTCAATGAGCTGCGGCTGAAAGCTGTGCCGGCAATTTGGCTGACAGCGTTCCTTGCAGGCCTCGCTAAACTCGTTTAGGGGCTCGAACGTTTTGGCATATTTCTCCACATTTACCACATGCTCGGGCACCTTAAGATTGGCCGGATATTCGAGGGAAGGGGGACGTATGGGTCTTATTACTTCGTGCGGTCGCCGCGGCACCTTTGATGTGAATGAGGAGAGCATAGCGCCCACTAGTGGGTTATTGCTGGGTGCTGTGGCTGTTGTTGCACTGCTGATGTTGTTGTTGTTACTGCTGCTACGCGGCCGTTGGCGCAGACGGGTCAAATAGTCGCACAACTCCAGGCCATGATGATGCGTAAACTGGTCGAGTTTGCGTTTGCGATTGATGGCAGTTTGTGTGAACTTTTTCATTTGGCGTCGCAGTTCGTGCGAATTAAAGCGCTGACGTTCGTGTTGGGCATTGATGGCCAGTCGGCCGATGCTCGGATCGGGCTCCAGACACAACGGCTCGGCTGTGGCCAACACCAGTTGACTCTCAAGCGCCAGCTTCTCTTCCGGAGTCGAGCTAGATATACCGCTCAGCTGTTGCACGTCCGCAAAGAGCGTCGCATTGGTGGGCCGTAGCATTATGTGCTTCATATCACAGATATTCGTTGACGTTGCAAAGGTCTGACGAAAGTCGCGGATTTGCGCGATTATACAGCCCGCATAGAAGACGTTGGGCTTGGCATAAATACGCGGCGTCTCGCTGCCATCTTGTGCGGAATTGAGAGTCATGGAATCCGCAGTCAGAATGTCCATAAGAAACTCGGGAAGCAGCTCTCGATCGATGCACTGCAGCAGTAAATCGTTCTCGTAGGGCCAGCGCAAAACCTCCACCAGGCCGTAATGCGATTTGGTAGCCACCCCATCAATGCAATCTCCTGGCAGCAAACGTGACTTGACCTTCGCATCCAACAGATCAGCCTTGCTGCTGCGACTAGCTGAGCTCTTCACTTGTACGCCCATGTCGCCGTCCGCTCCAATGACGTTAGGCACCTGCACCTGCTGATCTATAGCGTGCCATTCGTTTGTTTGCGGATTCAGAATCAAATGCTCGTCATAATACAGTGCCAAGGAGTAACCCTTATTTCCTGGATATAGATTGACGACAATTGTGTTCAGTCTCTCACGCTCCACCAGACGTTCCAGTATAAAGGAGCGTGTACGCTGCTTCAACTGCAAGTAAAACGATTTAAGTTAGTGATTGATTTAAGAAAGAACTTTGTGCTGCGTTCACACATATATAGCTCTGAGAGATCATAATGTTTTGGGTATGGAAATTTGTCCACAACAAGAAATTCTGCAACTATTTCAAGGTTCTAACATACCTCTCATCATTTCTGAAATGGTGATTGTAAGAATCTGGATTAACTAAGGAATTCACTTTTAAGAATTTTGGTTCTTCTGTAGAGACTGTGTTTTAAAAGCTTACAAGTTGCACAAACTGTTCTTGTACGAAAGCAATTTGACTAAAAAGTGTGATGTATGTAAATAGGATCGTGTATTCTTACGCCAGTTTCCGTAAAGTAGTTCAAATCATTGCTGAGCAACTGCAAATATAGCTCCTTGATTTTCTCGTGTATATTGAAGAACTTTGTGGAGCTTGAGGTGCAACTGTTAGAAGCAGCAGCATTTTCCCGCTTATGTGAAGTGCTGCTACTACTATTGTTGTTGTTGCTGGTGCTGCTGCTGCTGTTTCGAGCTGCCGACGTTAAAGCTGAGGCGCTGCTGCTGCTGCGACTAGAGGAACTAGAGGACTCTTTGCTGCTATTCTTCTGACGTTTGCTGGGTGATGAGGCGGGTGATGCGCTCGTTAGTATATGATGATTGTGATGATGCTGACTGCCGGACGAATTATTGGAGTTGCTGTTGCTTGGTGGACGCTTCTCAGCCTTTTTACTATTACTGCTACTGCTACTGGTGCTGTTGATGTTGCTGCTGATGCTTGTTTGCGTTGTTTGCAGCTGTTGGAAAATGTGAGCAGCGGTAGGTGCCGTCGCTGAGGTGCTGCTCACGTTATTGCTATTGCTGTTTCCGCTGCTGTTTATGCTAGGATTAATACCAGGCGGCGTTGACAGTAACAGATCAGGAACTACCGGTGAGGGTGATGTAATCGAATTGAAATTCGACAACGTTGTGGTTGATGAAGAGCACGACGACGGCGATGGGGCAATCGCAGTGGACAAGCCAACGCTTGGCGTGGCCGACGCACTCGCTGCCGCATGCGTTTCTGTGAGTATAACAATGCTGCCCAGTGCAGAGCTATTTGTGCCGCTTGTTGCAGTCGCTGGCATATCCGTGGGCGATTCATCATCATCGAATATACAAATTGGCGGTTGCGCAGGTATTTGTGGTATGGCTTGCAACAAGCTAGTCTCCAAATAGGATTTGTTGCTACTTGGAAAGCTTAAGGGCAGCGTTGCGGGCGAGAGTTGCTGATGCTGGTGGTGTTGTTGCTGTTGTGTGGGTGAACAGGCAGACTGTAGCACCGTGTGCAAATACGATGATTGCTGTTGCTGCTGCTGTGGCGAGCTTTGTGGCGCCGCCTGGTAGACGAATTGCTGCTGTTGCTGCTGCAGCTGCAGAACGCCCGTGCCAACAGCATGCGTTAGGCCCTGGGCGCTTGCACTCAACGCGTTGGCTGCGTTGTTGGAACCCTTTAGCTTTTTTAACGTGTCATTTATTATAAACTGAAAGTTATGTGAAAATAAAATATAGAGCATTTATTGTTGATGCTAATAAGAGCAGTTATGTGTTGCATATACTTACGTCTGCTTCTTGGCATGATGAGTCCAAGCTTTGCATTGTGCCAGTGAATGCCAGTTGCTAGTGGAGTCCACAACTCAATTACCGACGACATTCAAAACAAAAAACTTTAGAAAAGTGCGCCGTTGCAACAACAATAACAGTCATTGGATGCCAGTTGGGAGACCAGTTGAATCTTTAGCCAAATGTGCACAAATATGCTGCTTACTGCTGCTGCCGTCGGCGGATAGCGGATGGCGGACTACACACTACTCCTCTACCAGTGTCAGCTGCTCCTTGTTTAAAAACGCATGCGCTGCTGCTGCTACTACTTTTATGTCGTCGTTTGTAAATGTTGTTGTTTTGGCTCTGGTCGAGGTCGTTGTGGATGGCAGCGTTGGCGACGTCGTTGACTGCGCTGCTGCTGGAGTAGACATAATGAGCTCGACGCTCGCCTGCCTGCCTGTCGCTTAATTCCTGGTTAAGCGTCGCTCTAGTTTAACATAATTCGAAAGCGTCCTTTGTTTATTAACAATTTATGTAAGGGCCGCACGCGTATATAGCACCACTAATAGCATGGTTTAGTGTTCATTGTTGTTTTCATTATTCCCTGCACTTGCAGGTGTCTGCGCCTGCCCCCCGAGTTTACAGCTTTGGTTTTTCTTTCACGCGTTTCGTATGCCTTTGAATGCGTACAATTTGCCTATTATAACAACCAACAGCGCTTCTGCACACACTTTGTATCCAAAGAAGGTGTTCGATTAAAATTATTGTTTAATTTTCATGCGATTTCCCCAAAATGTAACAACTTCACTCTTTTTTTTTGCTGCTGCTGCTTCTTCCTCGCCTTCGTCGTCGCCACCTACTCTGCGATTTTTGCACACACACTATAACTTATGCTAATGGCGCAGGTTTGAGAACGCGACGCGTGCACGCAACAATATTGTTTGTTGCTTATATTCGAAACTCGTAATTGCTAATTGTTAGTGCTTTTAAATTGTTTAAAAATTTGTTTTTGCAGGGGAAAAGGTTTTGCAATTACGATTCTCGCCGAATGAAGAAACACTGGCGGACGCGCAGTGTGGCAACACTGTGCACAATGTTGTGCGCACTTTTTGAATTAAAAATGCAGGCAATTATGAAGGTGACAACACGAGGGAAGGTCACCAATAAATTGGTTAGTTCCATATTCGTATAAATTATCTAAAAGCGCTTGCATATGTAAATTGTTAACGAAAAAAGTGGATTGTAAACATTACCATTTAGGTACACACTGGCACCAGCTAGTGACTGTCCGATTCTCGATAGCTTGCAGCACAAACGCAGCCGTGTATTGGGATGCCAGATCGTTGGTTTAAAATTGCACTTGCGTTCGGCGGTCTTTCAAATAATGCACGCAGAATGCATATTATAAATGTCTCGCCTATTCTCGCTGTTAAAATAATGTCAAGGAAACGACACGGTATATTTAGAATTTATATTTATTACCCACTTTCATTTCAGTGTGTTTCACTTTAATTTTATAGGATTCATTTGGATAAACTTAGTAGCTAGTTCATAATTTAGAATTATGAAAATATTACATTATAACCAGATCATTTTTAGTTTGTGTCTGCATTTCATTTTCTTAAAATTAAATACATTTATATTTGTATACAAATAGATAGTATTAAGGATTAGTCTCTAGCAACTATGCATTAAGAATACAACTTTTGTCACTTGTACGTATACGCTTTGTCATATGTATATATATGTATATCATTATATCATCAATCAATTGTCAATTCAACGATCATTAAAAAACATTATCGGAAACTGTTTAATACATTCGCATTTGAAGAAAATTTTCACATCGTCATGAGATCTTTAAACGTCAATTAGTTTGAAATTAAAGCGGCTTGCTTTTGAGATGGTCCTGCTCCTGCTCCTGTCCCCCTTCTTCTGGTTCCCTACATTCATTAATTTCTGACCCTACTCCTTTTGGCCTTGCAGTTTTTTCCAGGTATCACCGAGCGCCTTGGCAAAGTGATCATCGACAGAGGCCTCCGGCTTGGTGAATATCGAAATGTTTGTGGACGAGGTTGGTGAGGCTGGCGGCGTATGTGTTGACGATGCAGCTGCCAGTCCCGGCTCGGCCTTGACGCGAATTATAGCTGGCATGGTGGGTGCAGGATTTGGCGTCGATGTAACCGACACGCTGCCATAGGCAGGCGGTGGTGTGTTGTATCTAGGTGGCGTATGATGCGGCGAGTCCAGCGCCCGCTTTCCCAAGGCCAGCGGCACATCGGCTATCAGTGGCGGTGGTGGTGTGGCAGGCGCCAAAGCCACAGTGGCTACTGTAGCTGCCGCCAGCGAGGGTGATGGCGATGGTGGCGTTGCCGCATGACTGCGATGCAAGGAAAGAGGTTCGTCCTGCGGCGGTGGCAGCTCAGGCTGTGGCGACACAGAGGCCGATTTTAGCGTGGGCGAATGCATAATTGCCATTGGGGCCGATTTGGGCGTTCCAAGCAGCGGCAGTGGCTGTGGCAGCGGTGAGGGTGCGCCATGTTGTTGAAGATGTTGCTGGTATGTTGGCACATGCAACTGTGCTGCAGCATTTGGCGAGACGGACTGCATGGGTGTACCGCTGCCCGATGGTTGTGGCGACGGCGTGGGCGAGCTTGGTGTCGGCGACTTCTTCGCAAACAGCGCCGCATAGTCCGGTCCCAGTGAGCGGCGAAAATGTTCATCGATGTCGCACATAGCAACGGATTCTGTACAAAAATAAAAGCGAGATATGTGAGTTAAGCAATGAAAAGACTGGATAGTACATATAGTAGGATAATGTTTTATTATTATGTGTTGGACGAATTATCTTCTGTGGCGAATATTGAACTAAAAACAACAACCCCAAGCATGCTCAATTTATTTTTTTAATTAAAATTGTTCACCATCTAGGTAAGGAAGTTTTGTTGTTTGATTATCTAAATAATCGTATAATTCGTCGGAATTTGAAAGAAAAACTATTTTCCCGATGGCAGCCGTTTTTTAAGTTCTTTGCTTGTCTTAATTCCAAGTAAGATACCATAAATAATAAAGATTAAGGCAAACATACACATAAATTATATATATATTTTTTAGTCGGGAGAACACTTTTTACAAACTTTATTAATAAATTCGTAATATTAACTTGGCAGATATGTATATACAAGGGAAGATCGAAAGAGGTGTGATAAGGATTTGAATCGATGTTGATTTGATTAAACTTTAATTTTTTATTTTTAGTTGGAGATCAACATTTTGCTTAAGATATTGACAACTGGTTAACCCCTGGTTCTATGGTATTTTAATAGAAAAATTAAAGCAAGCAATCACACAATAGCTTGTCAACATTCGACTTATTAAATTTATAGCGATAAAATAGAAGTCACGTCTTTCCCATATCCGGCCAACACTTGGCATATCCGAAAAATACTCTTTGACCATTTGGATATGTTTCTGTAGAAAATCTATTTTGATTTGTTCCAGCCAAAAAATGTGCACTAAAAAATCTTTAAGCTAATTGGAACAGGTTTTTAAATTTGGTTTAATCTCACTTTCGTTTCTAAAAATACTTTTTTAAGCTTCTTAACTAAAATATCAATAAGTGTCTAATCAATGGCGTTACTTCTTGTGGCGTTCTAATTTCGGTAACAATTCTGAGAATATTATGAATACCAAGACAATTTGTAGCCTTGAATATCACGCACAACTCTCTGGTAACTAGAGCGAACTGCTTGCCTAATTGAAGGGCTAACTGCTTGGATTTGTTAGTGCCCTGCTTGGATTAAAGAAAGCTTGAGTTAATAGAAGCGTCAAAATCATGTTAATAGCAGCTGTGGTGTGCAGTGAATGGGATGTTTAGGGTAGTTACTAATAGACTTATAATATGTAAAAGGACAACTAGGACGAATGGCCAGTCTGCCTGTGCTAGAGATAAAACTTGGCGTGAAAGTCCTATGTATATAGCTTTAAGCAGATGGGTAGTTTGTTCTGTGCCACATAAAATTTAAGTCAAAATGTTAAGAAAGTTTTCCCTGGAAATAGTCATTATTAGCCCTCTTCTTCAATCGACGTTTTGTAATTAACTAATTAATTACTAGGGAAAACTATTATTATTGCGCATATTGCTTTGAAATGATGTCAAGTGAATAGAATTAAGCAATGGGTGGCTTACCAGTGCTCCGATTATCATAGTCGCGCTGCTCTTGTGGCTCACGTTTGGGCGGTGCCTGCGTAATGACACTGGGACGCATGGCAGCATAGTTAGTGCCGGGCAGCGGTTCACGATATGGCGGCGGTGGCGATGAACGTTGATGCTTCAGACTGCTCGACGTCACTGACATATCAATGGGGCTGTCCATGTCGCGCTCAGCGGCTATTCCAAGGCCTCCAATTCCAGCAGTGGTAATGCTGCCGGCTCCACCACAGCCGCCGCCGGCATCATGAACTTGATACTCGGCGGTGCGCTGGCGGCGTTCGCGTCTCCATGCTGCTGTTGGCAGCTCCTTTGACGTCAGACGCGTCTCTGCAATGGACAACAACAAGAAACTGGACTTGAAAACTAGTTTTGATTTTTCGGCTCTAAGCAAGAGGAACAAAAATCGCGCATTTAAATTAAAGTCATAAATTAGTGTTGATTTGCTTCGTGGTTTTTTGTTGTTGTTTGTTTAATTCTCTCCCTTAAATTTCTTGTAGCTTCGTGTCTCATGGGTTAGCGAACAGCGACTCGTATGTGTGGCTGCGTATGTATGTATGTGTGGGCGTAATGAATCACATATATGTAGAGTTTTATGCAAGCTTTTAATATGTATATATGTACATACATATGTTTATATGTACACAAAAATAAAGACAAACTCTACACAAAACGCTGGCAGCGACGTCGCTTCAACGTCAACGCCACCGTCACGTTCAAGTTTGTTGCTTAAGTCATTCGTTTTTGAATGAATTTTCAAACTCGAAAAAATAATAACAACAGCAACAACCACATTAATAACAAGAGAGAACGCTACAGTCGAGCAAGCCCGACAGTGTAATACCCTGTACCCAGGTAAACTTCCGTCACTGAGTTATATGCGCCCATAGCAGCAGCATAAAGAGGAAGAAGAAGAGCGAACTTGTTGCTGCAGTTTGGGGGGGTTGTACTGGTGAGAATTTGTTTTGCTAATAACTTTTCTTAGAATTCACCGAATTTGATAAAATTTTAAACAACAGTAGATAATTGTATAGAAATTATGTGTGCAAAGTTTGGTTTAGGTAGCATTTGAAATGTGGACGCTATTGACGAAATTCTGTAGCGGGGGAAGGGGGAGGAAATTAAAAAAAAAAAAATAAACTCGTCCTTACTCGGACCTAGGAGAATCTGGATGCCAACTTTGGTTATTCTAGCTTTTATAGTTTCCGAGATCCTTGCGTTCATCCAGACGGACGGACAGACGGACAGACGGACAGACGGACGGACATGTCTAGATCGATTTCTCTCGTCATGCTGATCAAGAATATATATACTTTATGGGGTCGGAGATGCTTCCTTCTGTATGTTACATACTTTGCACAAACCTAATATACCCTTTTTACCCTACGGGTACAGGGTATAAAAAGAAATAAAAGCCAGACAAGACTGATGATTGTCAGTATGGGCAGGAGTTGAGCAAAACAACAAAAAATTATGCATAAGACCACAACAACAACAACAATAACAGACGTCAAAAGCAAAAACAATCGAAACTCCAAGTCACAATAAAATTGGTTAAGAAAACTCGTTTGGCTATAATAATAAGTACATGCACATACATATATATATATATATATATATATGGACAATGTCTGTGTGTGTATGTATGTATGTATGGATGACGCGTAAGCGAACGTTTACACTGAACAAAATGCTTTACAAAACAAAAACAAACAAGAACTACGATTAAAAAAACCTTTGGCTGGCAGCAGAGGCAGAAGCAGCGTGGGAAGTTGTTTGGTGGGCAGCATTAAAAGGCACACACAGACACACACAGACACACACACACACATGTGAGCATGCATATATAGTATATGCAGGTGTGTGTGTGTGTGTGTAATTTGGCTGCACTGCGCCCTACTCCAATTTTTATTTTGCAGTGCAAAGAAAAGAAATGCCTAGAGCTAAAAATAAAGCACGAAAATGATTGACTGGTCAACTACAACAACAACAACAGCAACAACAAGCGCAGCTTCAAATTAAAAGAAGAGGAAGCAGCAGCAGCGCAGCAGAAGGAAAAAAAAGAACATTGGTGCGCGTGTTTCGCGGAGCTCCAAAATCAAACAGGGAAACCAGTCAAACGACTTCTGTACATTTTCAGCAGAGCCGAGTGGAGTGCGGCATGGACCACAGAGAAGGTGCGGAGTGGAGTGAGGCAGAGTTGGGCAAAAAAAAAAGAAGAAAAAACTGAAACAGCTACACGACGACAACAACTTAAACTTCACGAACTTACTCCCCACCTTCAAGACACAATCGGAGAGAACGTCGACTGACTGTTGCTGTTGCAGGAAAAAAAAAAGCGAATGGCAAACGCATGAATGAATGAATGAAACATGCAAGCGAAGGGTATCACGAGGCTGCGGGGGGTGTTGGAGCGGGGGCGGCAGACACTCCTCGTCCTGTTTTTGGCAACGACTTCAATGTTGGCCGTACTGGTTTTCTCAATTTATTTATCACAGCGATATGCTGTGCAGGGCGCGCAGTCGCAGTCGCAGCCGCTGTCGCAAATGCAATGGAAAAGTAAAAAAAAAAAAACAGATGAAAAAAAAATAAAAAAAAAGGGGGCAGACAACATACAACAGCAGCTTACAATGATGACGATGACGACGACGACGACGATGATGATGGGGATGATGATAATAATAAAGAAACATTCAAATTTTATTGCACATTTCCGGTCGCCGCTAAAGTTGTGCGACGCTGCATTGGATTCGTGTGTGTTTTAGCCTATGTGTGTGTGTGTTTGTGTGTGTGCTTTCTTTTATTTATTTATGTATGCGCCGTGGTTGTGCTTTTTTTTAGTATTATTATTATTTTTGTTAAATGTGTGTTGCTTGCGAGCTCCCCTGCCTGCCTTAATCAAACACAAGACATGCTCTTAAATCATTTTTCAAGCTGCAGCAGCCAGCTAATTGAGGGGAACGCGAACGGAAGAAGGGTAGCTGATGGGATGGGATTGGGGATTGACGATTGAGGATTGAGGAAGGAGCAGCGCGTACAACAAGTTGCTGTGCGACTGTGCACTCAAATTTCAGGTCCGAACAGAAGAGCCTCGACAGTTGCTTAAGGGGGATTCTCACGGGAATAAAGTATCGAAAATTCCGAGAAGAAAAAAAAAACATTCAACAGCTGTTTACAGATTGGCAGCACTTTGCAACATAAATACACATAATGGCATTTAACTCGCATAAGTTATTCGAGTAATGTGTCCCCCGCTTTTAACGATCGAAAGCTAAGAATGCAGGGTTGACTTTTTTTTAAATTAATTTTTAACGCATTTTCTTGGAATAGTGATTAGAATTGTGTGCTATTTGAAGATATTGAAGCGATTATGATTTCTTGAGCTCAACTATGAATGTGGGGTGGCCTTTTTATGTATCGCCTATTACTTCCTTTTTCTTGCATGCTGGTTTTTAAAATGAATTTATTTTGCTTTACAATATGCAACTTCGATTAGGCTATTCTCACACAACGATTTTCTTATATCCCGAACAACGAAAAATTGCAGGGATCGCAAATAATGATTTTTTTAACGAAAATTATTCACTTAAAGTAACTTTGAGAAAGCGAGAAACTTACAGAGATTTTTTAAGAATTATCTATGCATTTTCACCATGATTTATATATTTTAATTTTTTTTTTCGCTCACAATTTATTGATTAGTTTTGAGTGTTACTTTTAAAATTAACTAATAATCATTATTGATGGGCAAAAAAAAGATTATTCTTTGAGTTTTATTTTTGATTAAAAAAAAAAACGCAAGCTGAAATTTTGTCTTTTTCATAAAGAATAAGGACAAAATTTCTATATATCCTTAATCAGTGAGTCAAGGCGAACATTTTTAATTAATTAAATCATCAATAGTCTCGTTTAAGTGCAACGCAATGCGCATATTAATGTTCTAAAATACTTGCAAGTCAAAAGCATACGCATTTAAAATTTTAAAACCAACGCTTAGCTGCAGTTTCAATCAAATAATTTACATTTTAAAAGACTGTCTCTGCATTTCCCAATAATTATAAAGAAGACAATAGAAGCTAAATTGTCCTGCCTTTTAAATTCTAGATGATTTAATTCAAAATCTAATTATCGTGCAAGGGGATTAAGTTTTTGGTTTAAATGGATCCTAAATGAGTTTATAGCATTATTTGTGTGAGAATTGAGCCCCGAAATTTGAAAACAGACATAACAAGCCCCAAAGTGATACACTGAACCAAATGTCACGCATAAAAATATTTGAATTGTATACTCTATATTATTGTCAGGGGCACTTAACGGCTATTAAAATGACAGGTGTCGTCAATTGGCGATGCATAAATAATATCTTACAAATTGGTTAATTGCTGCTTTTACGATCTCCATATAGTATTCCAGAGCAGAAGAACTTTACAGAGCTGCATCAACACGTTCTAAGCTTGTTTTTTCAAACTGCCATAAAGCAACAGGGGATTAATTGAGTTACTGAATAAAATATTTTGCTTTCGTCTCTACGAGTTATAAAATAAAATAAATTTCTTGCTATATAAAGCACAACAATATTTAGCTTCGTTTACTATTACGGCCCATACCAATAAATGAATCATGATGATTACGTGGATTAGCATAATAAATAATACATTGACGCAGCATCACCAAATTACTTGAACGGCTAAAATGGAATACATTGTTGTCCAATTGAAGTAATAAAGTAAAGCATATTGTACGGACATTGACACTTTATATGATTTACATGATCAGTGATTTCGATTTCTCATAATCTATTGGATAAAACTTTTCCACAAAGCGTGAGAAAGAGAACTCAATATTGCTTAATCAGCATTTGAAACATATTTTCTGAGCAGGTGATGCTTCTTCGTCTGACCCAGTTTAAAAGTTTGATCTTTAACAACGCTGAGGGAATTTTCGAAGAAATGAGAATGTTCCTAACATGACTTGGCATTTGAAGCTATGAAACATCGATACATTTGTGATCGATTTTCTGTTATATTCGCGGTTTAGCGTCGATATATCGATGCTTTTTTACAATTGTCCGGTGGGTTCAAGACGCCTTTTAGTTAAACCTGCGCAAAACTATATGCCTAGGGAAGAGGCAAATGATATGGCAGCCTAAATCAGAAATTCCATTACCCCAGTTGGGAAAAAATTGATTAAAAAGCTTACAACTATTCGGAGTCTGAAACTACATTCGAGCGACCATTTCCCAATCGATAATGCTATATTACAGATGGAAATCTGTTGGTTTTTATGTAAACTTATCCATTTTAACAACTATCATCATATAGGCTTCTTTT